ACTGGCAATGTGTGTTCTTTTTTGTAAAAGTGTTAAGTTGCTTCTCCAAGGTGGGGACTTTCAAGTTTATGTTAACACCTATGTTCACTCATGCTTATCCAGGATACTAACTATTTCCAGCTACAACAAAATCCAAGGATTTATAATGTATGTGATCCACTCCATGAATTTAAATTCTTGAACAGACCCAGTGCCACCTGGGGCCATCCAGATGTTTTGGACTAAAACTTCCATCATCCTGCAACATTGGCCATGCTGGCTGGAACTGGTGGGAGGTGTAGGGTAAAATAGCCAAAGGACACCATCTTGGGGAAGGCTGATAAAGAGCATCCATTAGCCATTGTTAGGGCTGCTGTAAGCCTTTCTTTAAAACTTTTTCAGGGCTCAGCACCAGGTGGCCCAGCATCTGCCATTATAGCTTCTCACAATGCCCTGGAGTGATTTTGTCAGTGACACTAGGGGGAAATTAAAATGGCAGCCACCTGGAGTAAATCAGAGGAGTACATCTAGCACAGGGTAAGCTAACTTGCAGGGGGCAGGCATGAGGAGAATACCCACTAAGGGGAGAGGGTGAGATGGACGAAGGCTACTGGGAAGACCACCACCACCTAAAAAGACAAAAAAATCATACATAAATAAATGTTTCAATCGGTACTTAGGAATGTTGTTGTTAACCTCATTAGAGTTCCTCTGTGTTGTTGGGGCTTATGGTAGAAAAGCCATAGCCAATTTAAGGAGCCCCAGTTCTGTTCTGCACTGCTTTGTTTACCCATCTGTTCAAAAGAGAGATTTTCCATTAAACCTATTGTTTATGAAAGACCCACCTGTTCTGACTCTTAGCTGGCACATAGGACGTCAGCAGCACTGCGGATGAGGGCAAACCAGTGCTTCAAAATGCCATTAAGTGGTGCAGACCAGGAGAGGGGAGGTACTGCCAAGTGTCTGGGCCATGGATCATTTGTTCTCTTATGGAAGAAGTTATTTCTAGCGTCCCAGGAGTTGTTGAAAGGAGACATGTCAGTAATGTAACTTTCAAACAAACCGGTATGCAATTGTATATGCACAACTAGAATGTCCTTTCCAAAACAAATGCTAATACAGTACAAGCTAGCAGAAAGGTATCCAGTGTGTGTTTAATAAAACAGAACCTCCAACTGTGCATATTTAATAGGTACAGCATTTGGATTTGTTTTTACTACATTTATCAGATGGTGGAACATAAAGAATTTGTGCCCTATACTGAAACTTCCCTGCTTTTTGTATCTGGCTGGTTGGGATGCTTCTGTATATGCTATTTAGGAACTGGTTCTCCCAACTTTGCAGATATGCTACAAGCTTCTTACATTCTTCAGATATCCTCGATTTGTAGACAAAATGCTGCATGACATTAGGATGTGCAGTTTTATGTGAAAAGTGAATCGTGAGGCAATACATTTTTGAGGCTGCCTTTGTTAACACTTGCTACAACATGCCAATAATGTCAACAAATTGTACTGGCATACCCTCACTTTGTTTACAACCATCCACAGAGAAGGGTGACCAAGATGATAAAAGCCTGGAAACCAAGCTTTATGAGGAATGGTTGAGGAAGTTGGGTATGCTTAAGAGAAGCATGAGAGGGGATATGATAGCTATCTTCTGTTCGTTGTTGTTGTTGCGTCACTTTATCTTGCGCAGGGCAACCCAAAGCAACAAACAGACATACACCAAAAAAATTATGGGATAAATTTATATGAAAAAGCTTCCCTGTTGGTAGAACATTTGATAACCACAGCTTGAAAAATTGGTGCTGGGGTTTGCTTGCTTTCTGCTTCGCTCCTGATCCCTTTTATGCTGTGTCTTTTAAAGAATGTAAGCCTAAGAGAAGGGCTATCTGGGTTGCTACTGGTTTCATGTTAGCTGTTCTGGGATTAACAATGCTTTAAATAAATAAAAAATAAATAGCAAGGCCAATCACTGTTGAAGTTATATATAACTGCTACAATAATAACAGCAGCAGCAACTGCAATGTTTTGCAAATATAAAAGCCAATTTCTGGGTCTAGCTTCTATCTTTGTCTGATTGGGCTCTTTCCAAGTCAGTAGTGGTGTGGGAGTGTGAAGCAAGACAAGTGTGAGTCTATATTCTCAGTTAATTCCTTTCTGTCAGTTCATATAGCCACCCTTCAGTACCTGGACTCCAAAATCAACAGAACTGACTAACTATGGCAGAAGCACAGCTGAGTCACAACTGCTGAGTCATGCTCGAAAAGGAGGGTACCCTGTTTGATGGAGCCCATCAAACTGATTCTATCAATAGTCCAACATAGGAAGCTGCCTTATGCTGAGTCCTTCAAGTCCTCCCGAGGCCATTGGTCCTTCAGGCCCAGTATTGTTGGTACTGGTTGGTTTCAGACAAGAGGTTATAATAATAATAATTTATTATTTATACTCCGCCCATCTGGCTGGGTTTCCCCAGCCACTCTGGGCGGCTTCCAACAAAGTATAAAAATACAGTGGTCTGTTAAACATTAAAAGCTTCCTTCAGATGTCTTCTAAAAGTCTGGTAGTTGTTGTTCTCTTTGACATCTGGTGGGAGGGCGTTCCACAGGGCAGGTGCCAGTACCGAGAAGGCCCTCTGCCTGGTTCTCTGTAACATGGCTTCACGCAGTGAGTGAACGGCCAGAAGGCCCTTGGAGCTGGACCTCAGTGTCCGGGCAGAACGATGGGGGTGGAGACGCTCCTTTAGGTATACTGGACCGAGGTTGCAGGTTCAATCCCTGTATGGGACAGCTGCATATTCCTGCATTGCAGGGGGTTGGACTAGATGTCTTCAGGGTCCCTTCCAACTCTATGATTCTACAGTCCTGCCATCTGTGATTCTGCGTCATTGACTGAACCTGGGACTTTCTGTGTGCAGAGCATATGTTCTACCACTGAGTTGTGAACCTCCCCTTTTATTTTTAAAATCCTGTTGCATTAATACTGTTACAGCTGTATAAAGCAGCCTTTGTCAACATGGTGCCCTCCAAGGGACTTTGAATCAGCACCAAGCAGCCAGAGATTTAAATAAAGGCTTTAATCTAGCTAGGGCTTGTCCTTAAATTCTGTGAATTAATAAAAAAATGAAACAATTATTTGGGTATTTACAGAGTCCCATTCCTCACACATAAATGCATTTTGAAGCCAAAGGTCTTAGGGCAGCCAACCTAAGTACTGGAGGGAATGAGAGAAGCAGCCTGATGACCCAGCATGCAGCTTCTAAAATGAGCTCATTTTATAGCACGCCTCTATGTAGTTCTTGGGGGATACTGATGGTATCATTGATTCAGTCTCTAGGGGAAACAGACTTTTCCAGACCTCTGGGGAGCATCTAGTTGATTCATACTGACATGACATCAAGACTGCCATTTACTCTCCACTGTTTTTGTCATATAATATAATGTGTGTGTTGGGGGCGAATGGCTATGGTCTTGCAGCACTTAATTTATTTAACCCCTAGATATCCAAGGTGGTAAACAGTTTTTGAAAATCAGTATACTATAAGAACAATATTCTAACAACAAGAACAAAAATATGGGGAAAGCAATCCAAAGGGGGCAGATGAAGGAGAATCCAAGTTAAAATACTGATCAAATCAATAGTTCTGTCAGGCATGCTCTGGCAGGGTAGAAGTTGGAGGGTGCATAATATTATTATTTTTTAAGTGTTTTCCTCATACTGGTTCCAGTGGAAGGTAAAATTTGTGTGCTAGCCCTGGATCTGCTCAGAGGGTGTGACAAGGGAATAGGAACAGGAGGGCATAGGAACAAGAGGGCTTTAGTTCCAGCAGACCCAAAACTACTCCCAATCTTCCCCCCTCTCTTCCTGCCATTAGAGCACTGATGTTGGAGGATACAGCCGGGGCTTTCCCCCCTCCCAGCTGGAACTCACTGGAACTCAGTTCTGGCACCTCCCAGGTGGGCCCCATTGCGATTACAGTGGTACCTCGGGTTACAGATGCTTCAGGTTACAGACTCCGCTAACCCAGAAATACTACCTCGGGTTGAGAACTTTGCTTCAGGATGAGAACAGAAATTGTGTGGTGGCGGTGCGGTGGCAGCGGGAGGCCCCATTAGCTAAAATGGTACCTCATGTTAAGAACAATTTCAGGGCAATTAAATCCAGAACGAATTAAGTTCTTAACCCAAGGTAACACTGTATAAGAGAACAAGGAAGGCGTTCATGGTGAGTTCCAGGAACTCTTTTTCTAGAAAAATGGCACTGGATACAGGTGTGGAGATTTCTGTAGCTGCAACAAGAAGGTCTCCATTACTGGATCTTCCTGCTTTGACTGCCAAGAAGGAGATCTGCAAATTCCTGTAGTTCCTGGGAAGATCTTAATTAGAGGGAAATTACCAAACAAACAAACACTGAGAAAGAGCCTTCATGGGACTTTCTGGAGCCTAGGTGAGATCAAAGTTCAGACTTCTTTTATGCAATTCTCCATCTTCAGAGACCCTGGAGAGTTGTTGCTAGCTAGTCTGACTATACAATAGTTGGATGCATAAATTCTCCACCTTCCTATGCCTGATAATCATAATTCTCCCACTTAACCAGGGAGCACAGTAGCTCTGCTATGTAAAGACCAATAATTTCCCTCTACTGTATTTCAATGTGGTAAGGCTTATTGTATAAGACTCTTCAGGTTGACCTATATCTCCACCCTGTCATCTTTCTTTAATTTGCTTGATGTAATTATATCTAGGCTTTCTTCCTCTTCTTCTCTTTCTGTCTAGTTTCCCTTCAATCACATCTTGAATTAGTTCACAGCTACTCAGAATGTGTCTCATCATACTTGATTACCTCTTCAGTCTTTAGCACCATCATCACACCTTTCCAATCTTGCTTAATATTTCTTTATTGAGTTACTTCACTGCCTCTGTTCCGGTTCTGGTTCAATGCCATGGGCATAGCCAGGATTTTTGTTAGGGGCAGCAGAACCTCAGATTTTATTGTTTTGAATTGATTTTGATTAATTTAGGGGGGCAGCTGCCCCCCCTTGGCTACTCCCATGTTCAATGCTATACTTATTTTTCCTGTAAAGGGGCTTTAATGAAACTGTCCAAATTTACCATGCTTAAAGTGCAATCCTCTGCATGTTTACTCAAAACTATTTCCACTTAGTTCAGTGCAGTTTACTCCCAGGTAAGTAGGTATAGAACTGATTCTATTATGCATTTATTATATTTGTTATATTTATAGCCCACCTTTCCTGCAAGGAGCTCAAGGCCGTATACATGATCCATACCTCCATCTTATCCTCATAATAACTCTGAGATAGCAGGTTCAATTCCTGGCATCTTCAGGTAGGGCTGGAATGACTCCTGCCTGAAATTCTGGAGTTGCCAGTCAGTCTAAACGGTAATTGGCTAAATGAACCAATGTTTTTATTTGGTATAAGGCAGCTTCCTATATTTTGTTCCTATGTTAAAGGACAAGAAGGTGCCCACATTCAACATAATTAAGTAAAATGTACTGGCCCTTGAATGTTACTTCAACCCTGGTAAACTGGACAGCATGCTAACGTAGAGGCTACAGGGCAGATCATGTACTTAATTTTGCTTTATACTCCTCACCATCTCTGCCTGCGGTAGTAGGTACTCTGATAGTATCTATTATCAGAGGACCTACTATCAGAGTTGGCACTAAGTTAGGTTGAGAGAGAGTAGGTGGCCCAAAATCACCCAGTCAGCTTTGTGGCTGATTGAGCATCAGTAGCGCTGCCAATCAGTGGCATTCAACTAAGTTTTACTCAGGGTGAACCCATTGAAATTAATGGACATAATTTACTCATGTTAATTGATTTCAATGGGCTTTCCCTGTGCAAAGCTTGGGCGAACACCACCCAGTATCTCTCACACCACTGCTTTCATGAGTTTGTCACTGGCACAATAAATTCTAGATCCATAAAAAAAAATCTGGACCAAACGTAGTCATAGATGGTTATATTAAGAAGCAACTACCACAAGTCTACTTGGGGTTTTATCACACTTTTTTCTTCTTTATGGGCTGAGAGATAGCTTTTGAGGCTTTTTTGAATTTGCATGAGATCAAACCTCAGACATTCCTGTACAGTAATATATTCACATGAGTCATTGGCCTCTTAGTAAACCAGGAATCTCAGCACAGATCTGGCATCCAAGATGGCAAGTTCAAGGAAATGCAATGCAATGCCAGGTATTCAAGGGGGCCAATTTAATGATTCTTGTGCTGGCAGATCAGTGCTCAGTTTGAGGCATACTGCTCTCCAAGTGCCGTATCACAAGCCCATTACATCAGGGGATTTGTTATAATTCCATTAAGGGATGATTAAGAGATCAAAAACGAGAGAGCTTTGTAATATCACAGATAAAATAATTCACCCTAGCTTACTGACCTCACAAATAGGAACCATGTGACACATTTTCTTAATTTCTGACTGCATGTGACTTGACACAGCTAGAGAGCATTTTATACTACTGACATAAGGCTAGAAGTTCTCACTTAAGCAATAAACCTCAGCCTAGGCTGTACCACTTAAGATTGCTGATGAGTACTCACAGTAAGTAATGCTGTCTTATGGGGGCAGGGAGAAGTTTAATAGGTTATTGTATTTTAATATTATGTTGGAAGCCGCCCAGAGTGGCTGGGGAAACCCAGCCAGATGGGCGGGGTATAAATAATAAAATTACTATTATTATTATTATTTATTTCACATAGCTATCCAGCATGTTGAAGAGGTTAAGCTAAAACCCTCTCATATATGTCTCATTTTCCATAGTAAAGATAACATATTTATATGGAGGACTATTTAGTTACACAAAGCCAGCCCACAGTTAGAATTGAGATGGCCCAGATGCACTTTATCACCTTGGTGAGAACTAGACCCTGAAATCTTGTTGTTTTTACTGGTGCAGTTCTGCAGGACTGGAGTCTCACAAACTCTCCGTGAGGCTTAGACTCAAGTTACCTAAATCCACTAATTCCTGCAGGTGTAACCAAGAGCGAAGGTATTGACAGCTGTTTTGGATTGTGTTTTACTGGGGTTTTGGAAAATAGGAAATTATTTGTGCCATCATCACTGCTTTCAGCAAAGCCAAAAAATTATTTGTATTTAATCTAACAAACATGATTCACAATGCAGGTGGATAGGATGTTATCCTATATCTTTTCCAAATTCCCTTCACTTCATGACTGGTGTGCTAATCCACTTTCTCATATGACAGGGTACATAATAGCCTCCTTCTCTCCCCTTATCCAGTTTTTTTTTTTTAACTCACAACTGACCACAGGTATTAAGACAATATGGGAATTTCTTAAATGGTGGTCATTGCATAACCAGCAATCAAATCCACTTTGTATCCCTAACAATGAATAGTTTTCATGCAGAAACTTCCAATACCTGTAAAATGTATGGGAGTTGAAACAAACAAACAAAAACATGATAAAACATCTTTGATTTTGCTGGCTTTAAAAAAAGAAAGAGCTAGGACATGGGAGACCAGGGTTCAAGTCCCCGCTCAGTCATGAAGCTCACTGGGTGACTTTTGTTGGTGACTTGAGGAGATAAAGCCTAATTTTACCTATTTATGCATACTGTTGTATGCCACCCCAGTCAGTGAACACTGTGAGATTCCAGAGGTTCCAGGCACTTGCCCAGGATTTGGTTTCTTGGAATGAGGGACAGCAGACTGTGATGTATTTATCATATATGGTTTATTACGCATACATACAACCTGAGCCTACAGTGGAAGGACTCACAAGACCCCAGAAGGTCTTGCTTCTCCCCTAGTTAAGTGTGGCTCTCACTCTCTGGCTTCTCCCTGCTTCCAGCCCAGCTCTCACCTCCGCAGTCCTCCGCTCTTGTCTTTCTCTCAACCAGACAGGGGAGGGATTGGGCCACCCAGTTGCCCTCTAGCACAGAGCAGCTTCCTTTGTCAGACCATACTATGGCCCTTTCCTGGCTAACTCAACAATTGAATCCCCCAAACCAACAACAGTATTTTACCCTGCCTCATCAAGTGATTTTTCTTGAGATGCCTTCAGTCATAAAGCAACAACATGCTAAAACATCTGTTTTAAAACATAGTTTGTGGTATGCACCTCTGAAACTACCTTTGTGAAAATGCAAGATTCTTCTGAACACTGGCTGCTGCATGTACTTTTCACCCGTGAGAACACAGGATGCAGCCAGGGAAGGCAGAAGGCATATTTGCATACTGCTGTAACAACAGAGGCCTGGGTGTTCCCACCACCACCAGAAGTTCACTAATTTTCAGCTGCTTTCATTGTTTCTTACCGAGCCAGCATCTAAACATGAAAGAAACCACTTATTGTTTAGCTTGGTGGTTGGCCTTTGTAAGTGGCAGAAGGTCACAGAAAGCCACAAGTAGGTCTCAGGAAGCCTGCCATACAGTCAGAGGTTGAACTCAGGACATTAGGCTTGTGAGCTAGCTACACAGCGACGATAGGGATTATAGCAGAAGCTCAGGCAGAAAATGCTGCCGACACCAGGCTCTGCCCTGGTCTTTCCCTATCTTGTCATAAGCCCTCAGCCTTGTCTCCAACTGACAAGAGCCTCTTCTCATCGGGCCTCTTGCAGGCTGCTAATATTTGCCAGCTGAACTCCCTCTGTAAGTTGAAAACATCCACAGGGATTTGCCAGGCTGGAATGCTGTACAGAAGAAACATTCCTCTACTAATGGTTTGTGGATATGTGTAACCTCATTGCATAGCGTAGGAAGCTTGTTCCCTTCCTGAAGGGTTGGCCTCCCACAGAACCAGGGGAAGGGGAACAAGAGTGACATACGACTTCCCATTTCAATAGACCAGCCTTCACTGACCTGGTGCTTTCCAGATGTTTTGGACTGCTGGCTGGGGCTAATGGGGGGAGATTGTGGTCCAAAACATGTGGAGGTCACCAAGCTGGTGAAGACTGCAGTACGTTTTCCCTCTGCTCTCTCCTGTGGCAGAAGTGAGAGCTGTCCAGCAGCAGTTTGTGAGGAGAGTGGAGCAGCTGCTGCTGTTAGTCAAAAATGATGGGGGAAACCCAGGATTCTATTATAGCTCTGACTGGACAACATGTGTCTGAGTGGAAAATTAAAAACCTTTTTTAAAAAACAACAACAACAAATCAAAACAGTACAAAAAGGTCAGTGGAGAGCAAAGTTTTCATATGCAACTGATGACTAGGTTTGGAAGGGGACAGAAGGGTTGCTAGATTGCCCTATGGCGCAACCCGTGAGTTGTTTGACATGAATGAGGGAATTTCCCCTGGAAATGCCAACCAGCCTTGCCTCAGCTCTAGTGTGCAATGTTAATAGTGGACTGTACCACTGGGCTGTTGTAAGTCGCTCTCTCTCAGTCACAGAGCACCTCATAACCTACAATATGGGAATACAGTAATGAAATGTAATTACACTGACAGTATTTTTTTAGGTGTATAGAAAATTTATTAATGCCTGTATTTTACATTGAGTTCTATGGGCAGCTCAGACTTCTACTCTGGGTGGCATTTTAAAATGGCTTCCAATAAGAACCCGGAATTTATATTTCCAGACAATGAGATAGTTTACTCTGATATTTTTATAGGCATTTGAAAACAACAACAACAACGTACTGCTTTCTCCTTTGTGTCCCTTTGGCATTACTTACATTTATATAGGCCTAGCTCTAGAGTGACACTCTGCCAATTTCTCCCCAAAACATGTGCTAGGCCACATTACTATAGCTTTTACAATATGGTAATCTAATTGAGAATCAGTTATTTTAGTAAAGGTGAAAGATTCATACAATCTGAATAGAAAGCACAGCATATAGCATGCTATCATTTCTTATACAAATATTGAGGCCGAAAGTTGCTCAGTTTCACCAGTACTGTATATGCAAACATCTGTCCCATCTAAGACTTTATAGAACCTTTATTCTCAATAATTATGGAACTCATTGGTAGAGAATACTTTTATTTCTGCATATCTTTATTATTTGTAAAGGAATCTTTGTATGACTTAATACATTATTCCTTGGAGCTGCACTATATCTTCATACTTCTGTCCTTCTAGGCTTTGTGGTTTATATTTTTGATACTTTATTTTCTTTCTTTTTGTTATGTCTGCAGTTTTAAAATGAATTTATATTTAATCATTAATCAAGAAGCACGTTATACTGTGCTATGTAACTTTAAAATATTTTCCAGAAAGCATAGTTGTGCATCCTTGCCTTCCTGTTTGGTGTTAAGATAAAAGCCTGCTTTTAATTTTTATTCATCAAAAGTATACTCCAGCTCAAAGAACAGGGAAGAGTACTTCAGTCCCTGATGCCAGTTTCATTTTGAATTACTTCTGAATGGATTGGAGGCATCATGGCAAAGCTTTGACAATGTGTTCTGCTGCTAATATCTGGTTCATCTATCGTGGCCCCAGTCGGATTTATAATTTCTGCTTTCCTCTGCCACTCTTCAAAGGCTGATGCATCTCTTTACATTGCAATTGCATGAAACTTGGCTCATACAAGCCTCAGATATAAGAAACAGATGCTCTACTTAGACTAACACAGGCCAGCCTACTGATTCAAAAGTCGAATGTGTTGCGACCTTGTAACAGAACTCATATTTCTCTTGTTGCAGTGCTGGTGATTTAGCTGTCCTGGAATTCATCTGAACTATTGTTGAGTTAATCAGAATTCCTCCAAGAGAAATTCTCTTACAGTCTCTGAATGTAAAAAAAGAAAAGGAAAAAAGCACCCCTTTCAGGCTTCCTTCCAACCCACCTCAAGAGAGAAAATAAATATTGTCCACGAGGAAGGGGGAAAGTCCAATTTGCCTTTCCAGCTTTGAGTGCTACCAATTCCAAGAATTGTATCTAATTTGTAAATAATGTGAGCTCAGCAGCTTTTTTGTAGCTGGAATTATGAAGTCTCTGAACAGCTCTGCTGCATGCTGCAGCCCCTGCTGTTTCTATGGAAATTTCTAAAAGAAAACAGGAACTTCAGTTTCCAGTATAATTAATATCTTGATCGTTGGCTATGCTTTTCTTCTTTTTTTAGCAAAATTATTTGACCTGTCGAATTTCAAACTTGTTGCTATAAAAATTATTAGACACCTTGTGTTAGGCTGCAAGTTCTGCAAGCATAATTGGGCTGAGTAGACATAATTTTTTACTCAGGTGAATGGAAGGTGTTGGATATTCAGTGGCATCCAGCCAGCTTGCCCAATATTCTGGTTCCAGCCTCCCAGTGCTCTGGAACCTCACATGGCAGTGATAAAAAACGTAACAAGAGCCCTGTTGGATCAAGTCGATTGCAGTTCCTATCAACTGGTATTCCCAGCAACTGGGACTGAACTGCAGTCTGCCTCCAGTGTTGGAGAGAGAACAGTGGTAGCCTTCTTCTGTTCTTTGACCACAGCAACTGGGTTTACTGAGACCAGATATCCCATTTAGATACAGTGGTTCTTCGAAAGAGGAATGGCAGATGAAATAGATGGAATACGCAGCACTGGATAAGATGACAGGGACAATTTAAAACCACCGGGACCATAAATTCTTGAAAAATTGATACAAGTTATCTGAAAGACAATTGTAACCGACTGACTACGCTTGTAGGACTACAAGAAGTTTTGTAAGGAGAACTATATGAAATATTGCAGGAAATATTTATGAGAATGGATTTTAAGTTATGGATGATTAAAAGTAATAGATAGGATAACAAATGTAAGATTAAGAGATGAGGTTTGAAAATCATTAGATGTGGTTGATGGAAGTCTTAGGCTAAAATAGCCAAAATGTTGTATGAGATGAGATGCTATGTTCTGTTTGGAAAATATATATAAAAACTAATACAAATGTATATTTTTAAAAAAAATAGATAGTGGTTATTGAGAGACCTGTCTTACATGAAGTTTTCTAATCCTATTAAAAAGCCACCTCTACCCCAGCCTAGAACCTGGAATGAATAACCTACAGTTGAACTAGCTATGTCCATTTAGCACCATTCAAAGATCACAATGTATTCAGCAGTTGGTAACAGTCTGTTATTGTGCACCCATCTCTTAAGTGAAAAATAAGTATGGAACAGAACTTTGTAATATTTTTGTACGGTTGGGGAGTATGAGAGTAACAAGTCCATTGGAATGTTTCCTTTGTCTCCAGAGATATAATAAGAACCTTAAGCTCATTTATCCCAGTGAAATGTAATATATCAGATAACCTTCTGCATTTGTTCCAGGGCCACTGAGTCAGAACAGATCTGGTTTATCAGCTGTGATTAAGGGAAGGCAGAAATAGTTCCATTCTGCCTGCCAATAATTTAGCTGAGATCTTAAGGCGTTCATAGCTGTGCTGAATAAGAATAACATCCATGGCGCATAACAACATTTCAGTGACAGATATACAGAGACACGTAACACAAGGATATGTACAGCCTCTGTGGATTTGGTTTATATAATGAAAAGGAAGTGCTCTTAATTCTTAATATGTATGTGCTACATATTTTGACTCATCGCACCAATACCCTGTTTAGAAGTTTTTGTTTCCTGTGGATGAAGTTTTGGCAACACTGAGTCAATCTGCTAAACATATTTTCCAGCCCCCCATCTATCAATGCATGCAAACCAGAACACAGTGTTTGCTTTTCAAACACGTATATTTTCCTTTGTGCGAGGAGGTTAGGGCTACGTGTGTAGGAGTGACCCAATTTTATCTTCACAACATCCCTGCGAAGTAGGTGAGGCCCACAACACAGCAACTTTGCTAAACCTAAGTAGCTTCACATCTGGTCAATGTTCACAACAGAGAATCCTATATATGCTCAATAAAAGAAAAGTATTATATAAATTCAATAAATATATAAGCTGAGATTCCTGCATTGCAGGGGGTTGGACTAAATGACCCTTGGGATCCCTTCCAACTCTACAATTCTATGATTCCATGATCTGGGCCATGGTCACAGGTCAAGTTTCATAGGGGACTGGAGAACCAATACCAGGTCTTCCTGTTCAGCAACCGCAAAAAGTCCATTACAGCACAATAGTTCTTGCTTGTTACATAAATAGACAGGAAGTACACAGCAATTACTGTAATTTCAATACAGTGGTACCTTGGGTTACAACCACTTCGGGTTACAAACGCTTCAGGTTACAGACTCCACTAACCCGGAAGTAGTACCTCGGGTTAAGAACTTTACCTCAGGATGAGAACAGAAATCACGCAGTGGGAGGTTCCATTAGCTAAAGTGGTACCTCAGGTTAAGAACAATTTCAGGTTAAGAACGGAACTCCAGAACGAATTAAGTTCTTAACCCGAGGTACCACTGTATTCATACAATTTATTTAGTTCAACAATGTATATATGTCTTAACACCATAGTTTCTTAAGTTGTCTACAATGCTACAATGAAGTTACGAAAGAGATAACAATAGGGATATAGGCTTGCAGCCAAATATATTCTACCCACTGAAATTAATAGACAAATGTTATTAATTTCCGTGTGTTAGCCCATTAATTTTCTGAGTTGGGCTAACATTGGACACAGCCCCAAATCAGTTAAAATTAACCGTAGAATCAGAAAGCTTACTTTAAATAATGTCTGCTAACCTTTTTTTAAAAAAGTCAAGCCTTTAAAGTTTAACATGGATCTTTTATCTTAGCTGGGGCAAGATTTGCACAGAACTGGGTCTGCAGTACTTCTGGTAGTTGCAAGTTGAGTCTCTTTCACCCTAGTGGAAAAGACCAACCAGAAGACCTGTGGGTCTGCTCAGTCTTTAAGGCTCTCCCTTTTTATTTATCTTTAAACCAGATAAATTATGCTGGATGGCTCTTCAGGTAAATAAACATCCTTTGACAGTCCTCTGTAAAGTAGGATTCAAGGTAATCTTAATGTAGAGAACAACATGTCTGAAAGAGTTGGGGGGGGGGAGAATGCCTCTCTCTTTTTCGCTGCTTCAGAATGATTCAGGTCAATAGTCTAGTGCTGTCTCTCTGAAGGGGAAGCAGCTCTACAGGGTATTGTCTAACCCTGTTACCTCGGTTTCTTCAGCAGGAAAGGCCAGAATCTGACTCACTGGCATCTTAACATGCAAAGCTTGCACTGTCACTGAGCGACGGCCCTTCCCCACAGTGTACACAAAGTTTACTCTATCAGCTGGCCCCGTGCTATATTTAGAACAGAGAGAACTGTTGATATTTATGACTGGGCAGCAGCCACAAGGGAGGTGAAATTGCGTTTTGAGCCACAGAAAGAAAGTGTTGCAGGCTGAAGAACTGCACTTCCTTATTCTGAAAGCGCAAGGGAAGATTATCTCTCGTACGACCTTCCCAAGCGACAATACATTTAATATGTACGCTATGGCTGTGCACTTTCAAGGCCAAAGGAGATGGAACAGAAGAAGCACAGCTTGTTTAAGCCAGGGTTTGCCCTAGCCAGGGTTGACCCAGGACATTTTGCCACCTGAGGTGGAGCAGATAAATATAGATAACATAGAATAAAAATTGCCGTAAATAGAAAAGCAAAATCTCAGAGTCCGTTCAGACATCCATGCGCACATCAAAACTATCCAGAGTTAAAAGTTTTAGAATTATTTAAAGTTTTTAAAAAACCTGGGGAAATGGAATTGTTATTGGCCTGGTGCCCAAATACAGTGGTACCTCGGGTTAAGAACTTAATTCATTCTGGAGGTCCGTTCTTAACCTGAAACTGTTCTTAACCTGAGGTACCACTTTAGCTAATGGGGCCTCCCGCTGCTGCTACTGCGCCGCCGCCACACGATTTCTGTTCTCATCCTGAAGCAAAGTTCTTAACCCGAGGTACTATTTCTGGGTTAGGGGAGTCTGTAACCTGAAGTGTATGTAACCTGAAGCGTCTGTAACCCGAGGTACCACTGTAACAGTAATGCAGGTGTCAGGCAGGCTTCCCTGGAGATGGTATACAAGAGACATGGAAGCACCATGAGAAAGGTCTTCCCTGTCACCACCTATATACTTCAGATGGCAGGACTATGCTGGAGACCATCCTTCTCAGATGGTGATATCTTTGGATGGGGATAAAGTGGTCCAACAAATATATGGGGTACTAATTCATCTCTCCCTTTTTATGTTGTTCCTTACATAGTGAGGCATTGCTAGAAACAGTTGTATGCTAGCAACTTACATCTTTTGCTGTTGTTCAATACTAGAGTCTTCTATTTTGGTTCGCCTTCCAGCTTTCTCTGTCACTCTTCCTGTCTACAGCTTAGCCTCTTTTCCTTAATTTTTTGTTGGTCATGAAGCAAACTAAGGAAAAAACCTTGTTGGCATTTTATACTCTTAGCCATTTTAGACTTTTTGCCATAAACACCAGTAGTACCTGAATAAAGTTCCATTGACCTCATTCTCTCACAGTTCTCTGGAAGTTCAGTGCTTTAGAAAAGGTGGCTGAGGTTTATTGGGAAAAGGAGCACATTTATTGATGAAATAAAAGCTCTTGGAGTTGGGACCCCACTGTAATTCTAATTAAGGGTGAGTTTTAAAACCAATCTGCTCTCTCTCTCTTACACCTCTTTAAATAAATTGCAGACTTCGAGAAAAGTAATAACCCGCCAAAGGAAATATGCTTTCCAAAAGTGTGTCTTGCTAATTACATGAGTTTTATTGCAGGAAGTAAGGAGGAACCATTTAAGAAATTCTAGCCTGAAGTCTTGCAGTTATTCAATTACTGGCAAGGCCACATGCTACAGGCAAATTAACTGAAAAACCAAGGACAAGACTACGGTCTGCTAGGCTTTATCCCAAACAATACAGTAAGTCTTTGTCATCTAATTTGCCTTACTGTCTGAGAAGTGTTTCTTCTGGCCCACAGGCAACAGCCCCACAAACCATTTATGTTGTCATAAGCTAAGCAACCGCTCAATAAGATATTCAAACGAGTCTTGTCCTTCAAGGTGTTCCTGTGTCCCACAAACATATTGCCTTCAGTTGGGCTACATAAAGCCTTCTCTCTTGTCAGTTTTGGTTTGTCCCTTTCTCATTTTTTCAATCTGAAATTCAGTTCACCACATTTTTCCTGTGGATGAAGTCCTAGTCTGACACGCTTAACTGTTTCACCACACTGAGTCTCTAACCAGGGTTATCAGGTTGCAGCTCTGGGCTCCTTTGGAGGAAGGTGTGGGATATAAATTCAGTCACTCAATAAATAACCACAACCTAAATGCTGGCTAGGTGATCTGGTCATACCCACAAGGAATCTGCCAGGTTTTCTGAGTCTCGAAGCTAAAGGAATAATCATTTAAAAACATATTGTTTGGCATTTTGAATATAAGAAAATTATTCTTGAGCATTGTTGAACAATATCAGGCTCTACAGCCACATAAATTTTCCTAGGGAAATGCCAAAGAGTCATGTCACTAAAGCAGATGGCCCTTGGCTAAGGCATCTGAACAGGATTTTTGCTTCTTCAAACTTTGCATGATAGCAGGGGAACAGATGCATGGTGTGTATTTGTACAAGAGACAGAGAGTGATTGCCTACGAAAGTGCTGTAATGTTTACTATTTCGAAAATGACAAACAGTGCTAGGGAAAGATTGAGACTGGACTGAATACAAGTGGCACAATGTTAACTTTCCTCTTCGCAAACGCACCATGGAGATCAGAAATAGCTCAGTGCATCTATTCCACACACACACACACACACACACACACACACTCTTCTAAGGACCCTGGACCCAAATATGAGACAGCCACTTGTCTACTCCCTTCTGCATTGTACTGTTTAATTTAATTACTATTTGTTTGTTTGTTTCATTATTTCCAGGGCATCCCTGCTCTCCCTTTAAAAAGGACAACCAACTAGCTTGTTTATTTTGATGCGCTGGGGAAAAAGAAAACCTGATATGGCAAAAGTCTTTTAGAGACTGTAGTTCCACAGGTAGCAATGTATTGGTTTGAGGTGCTGGCAGACACTAATTTATATGGGAATAATTAAAGGGGTGCACCTGGGGATATTTGGGGGTGGAGATTAAACCAGTCACCATTCCTGGTAATCCTAGTGTCCAGATTAGGCTCATGTTTCCCCTGTCTAAACACTCTTTAAAATTACAGCCTATTTACTTTTATCCTACAATTAGTGGGTGACAGTGAGAAGCAGGCAGCCCATATCTGCATATACCCTGAATATGCAGATTACTATCCTGGAATACAACTCAATGTTTCTGTAAAGGTGGTTCTGGAAAGCAAAGATGCGCTCATATGATATCTAATGAATGTTTACATATAGATACGTGGGAAGCCCACACCAACTGGCGGTTAAATGGAGGTCACCATAGTAGTGTCTCCTGTTCTTTTTCCTCATGCAGAGAACAATTAGACCACAAAGGCTCTTTTATGCTGTTCCAGTGGGTAGGGAACCTTTATCTGGTTTTATAAAGCTTCTTATTCCTTTTCTTTTTAGTTAATTGATTGCATAAGTTCTTAATCAATTTCTTGACCTTCTTTTGGATATCACCTTGATAAAGGAAGCAACTAGTATTTGCAGACACTGAAACAAGAATATTGATTGCAATAAACAGTTGGGCGACATCTATTCAGCTGACTTTGATATGAAAATATATTATTTGCAAACTTGTCAGATTAGATTTTTCCATAAAGATAAAATTAATTAACTGATGTTGCAAGCACAGCCATATATTTTACCCGTTATTATGGGGAGGAAGGGAAGGGAAGACCACAAAGAACTTTACACGCTATCGGTAGAAATTGAACCCTATTCATGTTTTCTCAGAAACAAGTCCCATTGTGCTAAAAAGAAACAAGTAAAAATAAGGGAAGAGTGGCTGGGCAGGGGGAGGAATTTTTTTTACTGCATAATTGTTTGGGAGACTTGAAAGCTTGCTCGTTACTTTTATAAGTTTTTAGTTTGTCCTAATAAGAGACAGTGCATAGTTACCTTTAATAGGCTGTTTTATGAAAATGAACAGGAGAAAATGAGGCTATGCAGCTTCTCTGGAGACACGGATGGTAATAGGCTATACCTAAGCTATGCAGCACTTGATCCTTTTGGGAGCTAATGGAAAAGTGTACAAACCTTCAACTCCTAAGTAATGGATATGTACTCTTACCCCCAAACAAATGTCATCAGAATTAAAGTCTCACTGATGCATTGATCATTTAATGCAAGCTACAAAGATGCTCTTGAGATCACAGGCTAAGTAATATTGCAGATAACCTGCTGTTTATTTCGGTTTCACTAGTTTTCCAACCGCAGGGTATCCTCAGCAGCCTCCTTGGCTTAAAAAACAGAAATGAAAAACAAAGCTACAAATATTAGCCTCCCAAATTTTATGTAATATTTGTTCCCTGCTGCCCCACATCTTGAATATTTAAGTGGCAGCCTCTGCTACAACCTCTCTGTTCAGAGAAAGGTCTCCCTCCTGTGGAAGTTTCTTGCCAGCAGATTTAAAGGAAGAAAATTCACTCATGATGCTCCATATGTTACTTATTCAGAAACTTCTGCATTCCACAGAGGTTTAATGTTGAGAAATGGACCACAGCTCAGTTCTTATTACCAGACATCCATCTTTTCACAGAAACAGGGAGAAGTCTTGGCTGAGCTGTGGATGTTATTTTTTTTTAGCTCTCGGGTCCCATATTAACTCCCCTGCATGATATAGGAGATCCATAATCAGTATTCCTGTTGCTTCCACCAATTAATAGCCCCACACAGCTACTTGGAAGATCAGAAAAGTGGGAATGGGGGGGGGGAGCTAAGCCGTTTACTCCGTTTCCCTGATCTACCTACTCTCCCTTTCCCCTAATTTCTAGCGGCTCTGCTGGTAAAACATATGGATACTCCTATTCTTTTAACACAGAGGAAGGGGTATGTATGGGGTAGGGAAGGGATGAATAGAAGAAACGTTTATGACTTACACTTCATTGTTGTTCAATATGAAAAATCCACACAAAAATATTTATGTTGTATTTATTCAACACCTGTACCTGATTAAAAAAAATACAACAATGTTGTTTTCATTTTATGACTTCATCACATTCCACATATAATTTACTAATTAAAAAAGCAAGAGTTTCAGAAAAGTACATTACAAAAATTAGTGTGGATTTTGAGGCGACAGTGAGAATTATGAACTTTGAAAAGCAGTAATAAAAACATTAGAAAAAACAATTAGATCTTTGCTGATGAGAAACTCTTGTGCTTTCACCTTTCAGGACATGAAACCAACAGGCATTTCAAGACTAATTCCCCCAGGTGACATCTGATTACAAGGAGACCATAGTTTTATTAAGTATATAATCCTTTACTCAGTAAAAAGGCTTTTTGGTTTGGCTTGCGACCTAAAAAGTTTTGGAGCATGTCCATTCCATCTAATGAGCCTCCAGGCTTCAGGATCAGGTTTCGGTATTTCATTCCAGCCTAAAATAAAATAAAATTGGTAGGTTGACATTTCATGTTTATGTGAACTTTCTAATTCTACAATAAATAGAGGCGAAGGAAGCCTGTGCAGAATGGAAGCAGCATGTGGTCTTGGCATGCATCTGATACGACTTATTTTTGTTTTATCACAAGCTGACCTGCTCCTTGCCTCTCCAATGTCACTCTTCAATGTGATTGACATGGACCTCCTGGGGATTCTGAAAGTCATTAGTTATCATACAACCAGAAAACCAGCTTTTTAAATGTTTACAGGACCCGAAGTGAGCAAAGAAGTATATCTGGCTCTTTTCCCTCAAGCCACGCCCACTGGCCCATCAGCTGACATCACTGGTCAGAGGACAGGGCTGAAACTGCAATGGCAGTGTGCCCCATCCCCAATAGGGAACAATATTTAAAACCAGTTTAAAATAAATAGCAAACACAGGAATAGGGTGGGTCTTGACAATATACATCTCAGGTGAATGCCAATGAGGTGCGTATTTAGCATATAGCAGGAACTATACAATTAAGGTTCTAGACACACCTCTGTGGGGAGGGAATTCCATAATGAATTCCAGAAAGAATTCCCTCTACCAGGCTGCCCGCCCCCCAATACCTTGAGGGCAGCAGAACTACCACCTGTGACTGTCACTGCACACAGGTCTAAAAATGTTCTTCCACTTACCACTGATCCTAGTATGAGGGTTTGTCTACATGTTAACTCATCCACAAGTGAGGACCCTTGCCATGTTGTGATTTCTAATGCCTACTTAGACTGGCCCTTTCCAATGCTGAATATTCCTGGAGATATCCATTAATGACATATATAAGCTTCCATGTTACCAGAAGGACCCACACAGCGAATAGAATGAAACAATACAGCTGTGTATGAACTAGCAGACCACAGTACTGTAATGTTAGACTGCAGCTATGCAGAAGCAGACTAGATTATTACATTGCCCTTTTTGTTATTTTTTCCCTTTGCTAAAACCACTGGTATCCATTCTTTGCAGCTCTTTGGGCATTGCTTCCTTTTGTAAATATCTTTTTGCCTTCCTATGCACTCGCTTTCCTCTATTAAATTCACTTCAGCTACTGCTTATTGTCTGTCTTTCTCTATGCCTCTGAGCTCTTCTGGTGCCCGTCTCCCAGTCAGACCAAAAACTGCATCTGATGTCTCATGCCGCTGTCTGCTTTCTTTGGCGGTGCCTTATCTTTGGAATTCACTGCCCCCTGATATTAGTAGGATCCAGTCCCTCCTACACTTCCAGAGCTGCAAGGCTTATCTATTTTCACGTGCCTATTCTAATGTATTTTAATTTGCTCTCTGATCTCCATTGTTTTTGCTTGCCATTTTTTGTTTCACATTTGTCTGTTCATTTAAGACGCAAAACCTTCAGGACATGTTAGGTTGGGTTTTTTCAGTACTCATTTTAACTCCATGTCTTTATTCTATACAGGTTTTCAAAAAGGGAACTGAAGAAACAACATTTACTCCCATTATTATGTTGGATAAGAAAAGGGTATCGGATGTCAATTAGCCAAAGACCTGGGAGAAGAGGTACGTTTGCGCCTGGTGCCTAAAGGTGAATAATGAAGGCGCCAGGTGGGCCTCCCTGGGGAGAGCATTCCACAAATGGGGAGCCACTGCAGAAAAGGCCTGTTCTCGTGTTGCCACCTTCTGGACCTCTCATGGAGGAGTAGAAAAACCTGTGAATTCAAACTTCCCAGTTATATCCTTTCTAGTAAACCATATTTTTGAGACTACAGAAAATCCTTGAACTGATTGAACTTTCTAGCAGGCATCATAAAGGAAGTTTCCATACCTTGGGATTCATTATTCCTTCTTTCTTAAAGCAATTGTAAAAAATATCCATTGAGAAAACTTCACTCCATAGGTAGCCATAGTACTGGGCATCGTAGCCACCTGCCAGGTGTCCAAAGGTAGCTGGCATATTTGTACCTTTAAAAACAGTGTAAGAAAGGGGAACATGGGAGACACTGATAAAACATTCAGGCTTTAGACAGAATGTTTCAGAGAAGAGCATCTGATATAGTTACATCTCCGAAGTCAAGCAGATCTGGCCTAGCCAAATCATAAGAGAACTCCACATACATGAGAACATCTTAGAGGATCCACAGATATAACAAGCAAATATCATGTACATGAAAGACAGTACAGAACTCTTGACCATGCTGAACCTTTCCCTGGGAAGCCAGCCTCTTCTGCCACCTGCCAGTGTTCTGAGTGAGCTAGTGTTCTTCAAGGGCACACAAGAGCCACCCTAGAATGCCTGATGTAGTGTCAATCTGAGGCACTGAAAGAAATTAAAATGGCGGCTCTCGGACCCAGGTGCTTGGCTGGAGGACAGCCTGGAGCAGGTATCCATGCTAGCATGCCCTACTGGAGCCCCCAAAACTGCCCTAGGATACGAGGTGCTGTCTCCAAGCTTTGGTAGTGATCCTCAACTCTCAGCACTGTGAACAGGGTACTGTGCAGTGCACAGTCAGACGGGAGACTGCCTAAGTCCCTCTCTTCTTGCTTGGCTCTGACAAGAGAAAAGTGAGACAGAATGCTGGTTGTGGTGGAGAGAAGAGGTATAACACTTTGCTGTCCTTTGAGTTCATTGGCCTGACCTGTTCATACTAAGGCATTTGATCTGAAGGAGAATTCAACAGAGGGGAGGATATTTTTGTCAATTCTTCCTTCCCACTGTAATTCCCTGTGCCATCTCCCACACTGTTCCAGGTGACACCCCCTCCCGCAACCTTTGGAGCACATTTTAGGAGATGCAGGAGGGGCCAACGCCAAAGAAACCCTGTTTAATAAGCAGAACTCTGCTCACAGAATTCTGGATTTAAGTATCCAGGATTCTGCATCCAGGTTTTCTGTGTTACGGGAAATAATTAAAAAAAATATGTTTTTATTTGTTAGGTTTGTTTACCCTAAGGTGGCAAAATAAAAAAAGTCAAGCAAAACATCCATCTGAGAAGTTTTTCCATCATTCCTAAAAAAGAATGTTGTAACAGTTTGTTGTTTTTAAAGCTGGTGTTCAAAAAAAGTAACATGGTGTGTACAAAGAGTTTATAAAGTAAAATAGAAGCTTCAAGTTTTCATACCTGGGGTTGCAGGTATTCCTAAAATTTCATCACAGTATTTGGCATATTCCTTAGCGGGATCAGCAGAAGATGTTGTATGGACAGACTGATCAACCTTGCTCAACACAATCTGACGAAGTGTCAGAAGACCTAGACAAAGAAGAGGATCAAAACACAATTTTCAACTAACCGGCAAGAAAAGGGCAAGGAGTTTGTTAAGATGCTAATGCAGTAAATTGCAGCCTAGGAAAGGAGCATAGGAAAGAAACAGATTACCAAGTACTTATAGTTGAGTAGAATTATACAGAGGAAATGTCATTATCCACTTTAAATTGAAAGAACTGAACAAACAAAAAATAAAATGTGGCAAATTTACATTTTAATAGGATGCATATTAAATACAGGACAAATTGCTTGTAAGACATGGGTCCTCTTTATCTGATATTTCCTTTCCTAGATTATATTGGGGGTGGGGAGATGAATAGAGTAGGTCTGAGGCTTGTGCAGTTCCCCTTGTCCCCCCCCCCCAATCTTTCCAACTAAAACTAAACAGGGTCCATAAAAACATTTACAAAGTGAAGAATATCAATTAAGGGGGGGAGTTAATTTGGGGGATACTCGATAGGTTCAGCTAACCAAGGATGCATTCATGTGTTATGAGCTGGGAAAAGCCTGAGCATCCTTGAGTGAAAGAATATCATAAAAAGAAACTAAGAGGGGGAGGGACACGGCCGAAGGAGCTCAGTGCAGTGCAGCTCATCCACACTTCCTTGCCTGTCCCTTTCAGTTGTCATTTTATGACATTCTTTTTCACTCAGAATATGTCAGGGATGCTTTTTCTCACACATAAAGTAAAACTACAGCAAAGAGAGAGAGGGTGGGGAGGAAAGACAGAGAGAAGGGAATACCTGTGTTGGCTAGCCTAGAAGCTACCAGTTTTTCAACGAGATCATCTGGGACATGGCTGCCATCTTTATAATGCCTTGACATTTCTTGTAGGGGTTCTTTTTCCCAAACCCAGTTCTCAAACATTTGTGAAGGTACCTCTACAAAGTCTGTTTCCACATTAGTTCCACTAAACCGAGCAAAGTCAGTCTATGAAAGAGGAGAACAAATATAAACCAATGAGTGTACACATACATATTAAATTACAGTCGATTTTGCAAAAGATTTTTATATATGCACATATAGGTTTATACAAACACTGTATAAACCATTCTTCCAACATTCTGGAATGGGTCAGATGACACACAAGAAGGCTAATCCAGCCCTTATGCATGGGGACAGCTTGTCCAAGTTACAGCCTAATTATTATTAATAGCCTACCATCCTCCCTTATCATTTTATCATAAACCCTGTGCAGTGGATTTAGCTAGGAGATGAAGACTGGCCTAAAGTCACCCAAGGAGCTTCATGGCTGAGCAGTGATTTGAACTTTGCTTTCCCAGGTCCTAATAAGCACTACACCACACTGGTTCTTATACGTGCATAAAATATTACACGCACAGGCCAACATCACACAGTCAACACCCAGAAAATAGGGAAAGACAGCAATTTTGACCTATGCACATGGGCCACAACTGAGATGTGTGGGGCCAGTGGAATTGGAGGTCGTTTGCCAGATCTATGCACAGAGGCAAATCAGTCTCTTTATCTGAGGTGTCCCACTGTAGCACTCTAGAGCAATAGAGAATCAGAACTGAAGATGTGGTTCCACAGGTACAAGCAGATTCTATTCCTAATAACCGGGGTCATCAGGGATGGGATGGCACTTCTGCTAAAGTCAATTAGCAAGCCTGCCCTTGACATTCATGGGATCAGGATTTACCAAGGATTGCTTTTAATCTGAATTATACAAAGAAACTTTATAAACGGGAAATATTTCTAAGTAAATGGAGAGCCCATCCAAATTTACCATTAATTCTTAATTATTTGAAATAAAAGTTTTCTTTCTTCAGTTGGGGGGAAGTTGACATGCAGCTCTTTGATCTGTTGTCTTCTTTCAAAATGGAAGCTCACGTTCACAGAACCACACTAGAAGATTTACTATTTTGTCTGAGGAATAAGGCAGACACTAACCTGTGCACATATCTGGTGCATTACATGTCCAAACTCATGGAAGTAGGTTTTCACCTCATCATGTCGCAGCAGTGATGGGCGATCTAGTGTTGGCTTTGTGAAGTTGGTTACCAAGGCTGCTACTGACATCATTCTGCTGCCATCAGAGAGGAGGCAGCCGGGCTGGAGTCCAAAGCATGCCGCGTGACCATACTTTCCTTCTCTGAGTAAGAAATAGGCCAAAAACATGTTTAGCAAACTACCACAATGAAAAAGTGAATCATTTGGCATTGCATACCAATATTAGAGAACAACATCCTTTTCTTGGAATAGCTATTAACAAGAAAGCATTTCACATTTCCATATATATATAGCCACCATACTCAAACAACAACAGCATCAGCTCTATGAATATAAGCACATAAAATAATGTTTTTTCTTTCTTTCCTGAAATTGACATGATACCACGAGGGAAATTTGACTGCTTCCTTGTGTCAGTTTTACTGTAAGCTATCCTTAGTCATGGGAAATGACAGATCTTACTCCCTGAAGCATTAGCCTTTCCTTTTAATGTTTAAAAAGATTTCAGGAATGGAATCTAATTATGTTATCCTTTGGAACTATGAAGCCAAGTGCAAACAATAATGCATGACACTAAACTCCATAATGTATATAGTGCCCAGTGGTTTCACTATGCTTTGAGGGATTGCTTGTTTTTATTCCCATGTCGTTCATTCTAAGCATCGTTTCCTCGAAAAGGAGAAGGAATAATGTTTAGTAGGAAATCACTGCACTTAAGTTTTCTTCCTCATCAGGGCTGTGGCTTACTTTCACCACAATATCAAATCTTCCTTGTGATGAGGAAGACTATCACAGTTGCAACAAGGTTCCCCTCAACACCTTTTGCAGACCATCAGTTATGTTTTACCACATTATAATTTCTGGAGCCTATTGCCTTTTGACTTCTGCCCTCATATTCCCCCTCCTTTATCCTTTTACTTGAGCGCCAGGCATTTCTAGGAGTTACAGGATTTGTACGCCATTACAGAAGGGCAGTGGATATAAGAGTGTCTTGGTCAGAAACATCTGGTTCTCAACACACCTTCGGGGTGCAGTTATTCTTTCTTAAAATTCTTAAAAGATGGGGTGCTTAGCCCATGGGAGCAGGACCAGAGGAGGAGCAAAGCAGCCACAATCCTTTATTGAGAACCTGCATGTTTGCTTGTTTATGGTTTGGCTTAGCATTGTGTGTGAACCAGGTGACAGAGCGGAGACAAAGGTTGCAGACACCACAGAGATGTTGTCTATTACCAAGCCATGATTTGACATTGTGGTGAAAGTAAGCCACAGCCCTGATGAGGAAGAAAACTTAAGTGCAGTGATTTCCTACTAAACATTATTCCTTCTCCTTTTCGAGGAAACTATGCTTAGAAATGAACGACATGGGAATAAAAACAAGCAATCCCTCAAAGCATAGTGAAACCACTGGGCACTATATCAATTTAGATATGTTGGTTTGGCAGGTTCATCAGCCAAAAGCACCTAGTTTTCTGTTCTACAGCCTAGCTATAAGGGCTGCCTGAGGAGGTTTAGAAGTTAATCCCGTCCAAGTGTTCAGTTTCATAGACTAAGGGATGCAAAACACCTTAAGCTTTGAGGCACGTGCCATAAAGGGACATTGGAAATACAAAACAAACTAACTTTGGCAGCACTTGGCAGTCATAGTTGCATTAGGATCTGCCCTGTGTCCTTGAATTCCAGTAGCATTTAGCAGGAAGCAGTGTTAAAAGAGGTCACTGCTAAATATATGAATGCCAAATACAACAACAGTTCCCAGAGTTATTCCTTTGGGGGGAAACTGTGAGCATCCACAAGGAATGGCACAAATCTTAGCCAGGCTCTCAGCTTTCCATCCACAAATAACCAGCTGTGATCAGCCACACTATAATCCTTTAAAAATAATGAGTTTTACCAAGGCTGTCACTGATTCAAGAAATCCTAGTGTATTAATAAATTAATTGCATCTGCACATGAGTGGAGAAATGGACTGGCTCTGAGCTCAGACATTCTTACGGGTAGTTCCACAGATTTCAACAGAGCTACTCTACAGAATAGGGACAGGGGTGGCGCTGTGGGTTAAACCACGGAGCCTAGGGCCTGCCAATCAGAAGGTTGGCGGTTCGAATCCCCGTGATGGGGTGAGCTCCCGTTGCTCGGTCCCTGCTCCTGCCAACCTAGCAGTTCAAAAGCATGTCAAAGTGCAAGTAGATAAATAGGTACCGCTCTGGCGGGAAGGTAAACGGCGTTTCCGTGCGCTGCTCTGGTTCGCCAGAAGCACCTTAGTCATGCTGGCCACATGACCCGGAAGCTGTACGCCGGCTCCCTTGGCCAATAAAGCGAGATGAGCGCCGCAGCCCCAGTCGGTCACGACTGGACCTAATGGTCACGACTGGACCCTTTACCTTTACCTTACTCTAAAGAATGACTAGGTTTGGAGCCAACTCTACTGCTCTAAAGAAATAAACATACTTTTCTTTGTAGTTAGTTGATATACACATACATTGCAACAGGAGTCCCTTTAGAAGAGGCTTCTTTCCAATGTAAGAGATAAGGGAAATGTCTGTTATAAGATGGTCCTTGCCATCTGTTATTTTTTATTAACTACCTGCATTAAAACTAAATTTTAAAGTGTAAACATATGATGACTGGTTAACTAGAACACTTTTTATGGTAAATAAAAATTTCATTAAGAGAACCAGTGAAATATAGTGATCAGAGCAGCCTTGTCAAACCTGGTGCTTTTCAGGTGTTTTGGACAAACTCCCATCATCCCTGACCGTTAGCCATGCTGGGAGTTGTAGTTTTACAACATCTGGAGGGCACTGTGTTGGGGAAGACACAGTTAGAGAGGAGCTTACTGAGTGAGCTTGGGCCAGTGATGCTCTCTCAGCCTAAACTACCTCACAGTGTCACGAGGAAGATAAAAATAGGGAGGTGAGATACCCCACATGCACCATGCTGAAATCCTTGAAAGAAGAGCTAGATATATATGCCATTAAGAAAAGCCACCGCCACTAATCTTAGCTATAAATCATAAAGTTACCTTGGGTACAGGTCCAAGTAGAACTGCCCTAAAACTTCACCTGTTGAGCTGTCCTTTACGGTGTAAAGTGTGACACTCTCATGCCAAACGTGAGCACCATCCACTTCTTCAAATACAAGTCCAAGCAGCTGCTGGTAAATATTCAGTAATCCTTCTGTGACGGCTTCAATGGGAAAATACTCCTTCAGCTTTTCTTGATCCACAGAGTATTTGAGCTCCTCTGTCTGATTCATGTAATAATGCAGGTCCCATGCATTAATCCTGCCATCGTATTCAAACCCTGCTTCTTCACACTCCTTTTTCTTAAGGTTTAGAATAAACGCTCTCTCAGCCTCACCCAAAAGCTTCAGCTTATTGCTTAGGTCATCTGAAAAGAGAAACAATTACAATTACTTTTGCCAGCTTGTTTGTCCTCATCTCGAGGCCTCCCAGTGGCATTTGGTTGTCTACAGACCTCTGGACTAGATAAGCCTTTGATTTGATCTAGCAGGGTTCTTATTTTCTTACATTACTGCAGCCGTTACATTTTTATAACCATTTCATTCTTAGCTCTATTTGGTCGAACAGAAACAGAAGGCCAAGAACAAACATCAAATGCAGTTAACTATATGTGACTGATACTGATGTGATATATTAATAAGCCCCCATTTTAGAATACTGTCTAGTTAATTCCTACTGAATGCTTAATATCCAATTAATTTCTTCTTAATTAAAGGCTGGCGTAGCATTTACTGGAGGAGCAACTTTATAAAATTTAGGGATGTTAACTAGGTGCTCTTGACTGCTTGGCTTACTTCTACTTATAACTAATAAATGGTTAAGCAAGTGCTAGGTAATGTTATAGAAGTCCTCTTAAATCTCGTAAATCACACTCATTCTCTTATACTCTCCAAGTATATATGCAGAGAAAATGAAAGTTAGATAGAGTTTTGAGTAGAAAAAAGATGCTAAAAATACTTGATCAGATCCTTTTCTTTGCCTGCCCCCAGTAAATTTTCACAATAAATTTTACCCCATGATTCAAGTACTATGTTTGATACTTTTGCATATATAAATAAAAACAAACCTAAGAACGCTGTAACATTGTCTGTGATCTGGGCAGTGTTCAGCTCAAGAACAAAATTGGCGTGTGTGCTGTATCCCATAATTCCCGCTAATTTTGCCCTCAAAGGAAGCAGCTGTTGAAGAATGCTAACATTTTCCTAGGGAAATAAAAATTAAGGCTTTAAGCTACTTCATACAATGCAATGAATAAAATGTACTTTTGACAGCAATTGCATACGTTTTGAACGAAATATGCATCAAACTCTTGAGAACACCAACATGCTAAAAATATATATGTTTGTTTGTTTTTAAAAAGTCTCCTTATGTTTTGTAGCCAAGTATCCACACGGGTGGCGCTGTGGGTTAAACCACAGAGCCTAGGACCTGCCGATCAAAAGGTCGGCGGTTCGAATCCCCGCGGCGGGGTGAGCTCCCGTCGTTCGGTCCCAGCTCCTGCCTACCTAGCAGTTCGAAAGCATCCCTAAGTGCAAGCAGATAAATAGGTACCGCTTTATAGCGGGAAGGTAAACGGCGTTTCCGTGTGCTGCGCTGGTGCTGGCTCGCCAGATGCAGCTTAGTCACACTGGCCAAGTGACCTGGAAGTGTCTTTGGACAGTGCTGGCTCCCGGCCTCTTGAGCGAGATGAGCGCGCAACCCTAGAGTCGGTCACGACTGGGCCTGATGGGCAGGGGTACCTTTACCTTTACCTTTATCCACAATTTACATATGCTTTATTTCAGGAAGGGCTGTAGCTCATTGGTGGAACATGCATTTTACATGTGAAAGTTTCCAGATTCAGTCCCTGGAATCTCCATTTAAAAGGATCTCATGGAGGAGAGCTGGAAAAGGCCTCTGCCTGAGATCTAGCACTGAACTAGACAGACTACTGTAATGGTCCCACTTAAGTTAAGGCAGCTTCATCGATTTATATGTATTATTGTGATACTTACATAAGCTTCCTCTTTGTTCTTAGGGATCCACTGTTTATTTGATCACATAATTGGGTTTTTAAGTAGTTTTCAGAAAAGTTCAAAAGAAAAGTGAAACAAATCTAGCACTTTCACATGCTGTCCTTTCAATTAGGCTAATTTTATGCTACTCAGTTCCTGGAATGGTTATCTTAATTCTGAAACTTGCCAACAAATTATTTATAAATGTAAGACACAACAACCAATGTCCCGTGATGACATTTTTAATTTCTTTTGACAATTATTCACCTTCTTTAAAACATGTAAGCCCACATGGTTTTTTTTCTGCTCACTCATTTCTGAATTTGTGTTCAGCTGCATCTTTAATCACCGAGGTCTCCAAAGCATTTAACAAGCTTAACTTGCCTTTATTTACTTCTTGGTATACATCGGTACTAAAACTCTAGTTGTTAAATGAGTAACCCATATAGGCAATGGAAGTTAGGATTTATTTATTTTTAATTTTTGTAAATATGTAGAATTTGAAGATTGCCACTTTTTTTAAAAAAGCGAATTTTCTGTACTCATTCATTTCCCAATGCACTATGGAAGAGAAATGGGGACTCTGTGGCAGTCTGGATGTCATTGGACTCCATCTCCCCTACCTTGCTGGCTGGGGCTGATGGGAGCTGGAATCCAACAACATCTGTAAGGCCACAAGTTCCCCTCTCCAGCTGTGGATAATATAGGCTACTACCATGAGAAAACAATCAAAATGAGTCCACCAAGCCAGGTACATAAAGGGCCATGGATCAGTCATATTCCTATATTTTATCTCACTTTGGTATGGGTGGGACAAATCTCTCATACCTCTTTACACCTGGAGTTAAAAGAAGCTTCCATTCTTCTTCTGGTGTCTGGAACACTGCACTTCTTCATAACAGGAAAATAGTGTGGATATTTTAAGGTAACTTTATATCTGTCTGTTTCAGTCTTCTCCAAACTACTGATGAAATCATCAGGAAGGGCACCTGAGGAACACGGGATATAGGAAAAAGGATACTTTTCAGACATTTTCTTAAACAATACAACAAATGTTTGACATAGCAACCATCACAACTGTTTAATTACCCGGCTGATTTCTACTGTCAACATGCATTTTTAAAATTACAACCCTACGGTTTCCATTATTAGCTGCTTAATGAACTTGTAGCCTTCTAAATATTTTGGACTCCCGGTCCCATCAGCACGGCCAATTGTCAGTGATGATGGGAGTTTTAGTCTAGCTGCATCTGAAGGGGCACAGGTCCCACACTCCTGGTCTATACATTCTCACATACATACATACATACATGTTAACAGCATAAACTGAAGTAAACATGCTAATTCACTATGAGCAACAAAAACATTCTAAAAACAGTTACATCATCTAAAAGCAATTAGAGTTAAAACATTCTTCCATCCATCGAAATGGCCCAAATAAGATAGAAAATATGAAACTAACAATATACAGCTGTGGGGAAATGGTCATTGCAAGTAAAGTGGAAATGAGAGCAAGATGTTAACTATACTTTTGACAGGTGAAGCTGAGAAGTATCTGAGGTAGCTTTTCCCAACCTGGTGCTCTCCAGATGTTTTCAACTACAAGTCCCATCAGCCCCAGCCAATATGGGCATCCAAAACATATGTGGGGTACTTGATTGAGGATGGCTGATTGAGACAATGCTTACACATATCTGGAAGACTTAGCAGCATAACACTTAAACATTTGACAGCGTTAATACAAAAATGCATACACCTCCTCTCAACAGCAATTGGTAAATACACACACATACTCACAAAGTTCATCTTGAGAAAATATCAGGAATGTATTATCTTCATTGAGGTTTTTGCTGAAGTCAATGCATAGTTCGCTCAGTTTCTGCTTTATTATCTTGATTTCCTTAATAGGAGAGAAAGATGGGAGAAGGATAACCTTTATTAAAAACAAACAATCAGAATAGCACAACAGTTTTAACATGCTAATTTATTTGCCAAGGACAAAGAACACTTTCAGTATATCAGCCTGAGTTACTCAAGTCATGTATATAGAGTTTAAATCCATCAATTAAAGTGCATACTTCCGTATCTGTGATCCTAGCTTTCTTCCTGCATTCAGCTTGGATCGAAGAGGGATGGAGGAAGGCATGCCACCTCCATTGTCACTGGGCGTGCTTCTTCCATTGTTTACTGTGAAGCTCTGAAGGTAGTGTGGAAGTGTGTCAGCCTGAATGCCCCATACGGTGAGGATATGGCAGTTGGGACTTCTTGTCTAAGGAAACTACCAATCCCTCAAAAACCATACTGTTTGGAATGTTCTTGTTTTATCCCTTTTTACTATCTGTGGATGTCATACTTACATTTTGTACTTCTGTAGGAAGATGAAGACCATTCCTTTCCCCCATTTTTATTGACTTCTTCAGGTATCTTTTGGCTTCAGGCCTTAAAGTCTCAATGTCACATGTTTGCTGAAATGAAAGTAGATGATGATATTTAGCCATTTTGTAGCATATTAAAAGCTCAGTGAGCATCACAGGAATAACAAGAACGGTGGCTGTCTTCTTCTTAATCATGGATGGGGACACACACACACACGTATTATATCAAGCATTTTACTAAAGAAAACATTAATCTTTTGTCCAATATTGAAAGAGTTTATCTATGCCCAGTAGGAGTTGGCAGGTTATTCACCTGATTTCCCGTCACCTGCATAGCCACTGCTTACTGGGAGGCAGCAGGGGGGTACAGTGGGGAGACTGGTGTGGTGTAACTCAGTGCTCCTGCCAGGGTGTTTGAATCTCAAAAACAATGGGCAGTCAGGTAAGTGCTTTCACATTGGCAACCACCACTGCCTGTGCCTCATATGCAAAATGAACAGAGGTAGACAGTATTCACTATTTATTTGAATTGTACATTTCTGGTGTGTGTGTGAAATATTGTTTTTTTCACATTGATCTAATGATGCAGTTATCAGCATTCTACTACACACCAAGGATATTTTCCAAAAAGTTAACACTATGTCGAAACCATTTTTGTCATTCTTTACAACAGAGGTGGCTAACCTGTAGCGCTCTAGATGATGTTGGACGACAGTTTCCATCTACCTTAGTCACCATGACCAGTGGTCAGGGAATGGTGGGAAATGTAGTCCAACAGCACCTGGAGGGCACCAGGTTAGATACCCCTCCTGTAGAATGTTCAAAGATCTTGACCAACATATTCAGCAATCCTCCACACACAACAATCCTGAAAGGTGTTATCAGCATAGTACAGATGGGCAGCAACTGGTGCAAGCCACCTAGCAAGAGGTTAGACATGAATGAGGACTATAGCACAACTTAGTGGGCGGGGGGGACCCTGTATAATTCATTCAGTCATGCCTAGTGGTGTGAGCAAAAGTTGCTGCCCCTCTGTTTCACAAGCATGCACATGGTGTGTGAGAATAAAATGTTAACTAATAGAATACTGTTGGGTAAATACTGATTTTGTTTGAGGAATTCTAGAGCAAAGCATGCCAGCTGCCACACTGGGCTTTTCCACAGGGAGCAAACATTAAGGGCAAGCAACGACGTTTCATGTTACAGCTGGGTCACACTGCTCAGAGATGAAGGCGTTTTTGAAGAAGGCAGATACAGACAAATTAGGCTGCCATCTATGCATTCTTACCTGGAACTAAGTGGCAGCGGAGAGGTGGGAAGGAGCAACTTCCAAGCATTTAAATTAACAATCAGGGTGTTTAGGGCCAACCAAGTAGAGAAATGGTTTAAGTTTTCACACACACTGTGCCTGAAACATCTATCAGGTATCTTCCTGTCTCCAGCTACATTCAAATGTTTGCAAACAAACCATTAGCTTTTCCTTTTCTACATCTCCTAATACAGAGACCTTGCAACAACACACTTAAGTAATCAGCACTTTGTTGAGCAGGGCACATTTCAGAACAGGAAGAGAGGAGAGTATGAATAAACAACTTAATAGAAGGGTTGGAGGATAGCCAAGGTAATGGATAAGCCACAATGAGCAGAGATGTTGCTCGTTGGAGAAAATGCACTATGCAAACCCAAAATCACTATTACAGTGGTACCTCAGGTTAAGAACTTAATTTGTTCTGGAGGTCCGTTCTTAACCTGAGGTACCACTTTAGCTAATGGGGCCTCCTGTCGCTGCTGCACGATTTCTGTTCTCATCCTGAAGCAAAGTTCTTAACCCGAGGTACTATTTCTGGGTTAGAGTCTGTAACCTGAAGCGTCTGTACCCTGAAGTGTCTGTAACCCAAGGTACCACTGTACTTCGTTTTGAGTTGTTATTCATAAATTAAATCCGCTGGCCGCAACAAGTAGTCCATGCCCAATTCCAGGTGCTATGGAGGGTTCTGAATCATGCAGGGAGCCTCTATGCATAGGGGAGGCTCACTGCTTCCGTCTTTCACCCTCCATGAGTTAGATGGTGGCAGGGGGTAAGGTGGGGGGAGGGCAGAGTTTAGCAAACTCATCCACTCTCCCTGCTTATGTGCATGATTTGTATGTAGGTGGAACACAAAAAAAGAGCTTTGTGTAAAACCCGAAAGACATTATTTTTCAACATCTGGAAAAGAGAACACTTTTCTTCTGTTTTATGTCAGCACCCTTTTCTACATCAGGACTGTATCCAATTAAGTTCTACTCAAGAGTATCCCCACTGAATTAATGAACCTAAATTAGTAATGTTCATTAATTTCAATGGTTTTACTCTTGAGTTGGACCTAGCACTGGATAGTACTTTTAGTACATTTTGGAGATAATCCGTGCCGCATTATACAACAGCAGTATTCCTTAACATTGTCCAGATCTCTTTGGTGTGTCGGGCATTCAACAAACTTCTGTCCTCTTAACACAGGGCACTTAATTCAGATGGGATTGTGGGCAAATCCAATCACAAGGCAAAGGTGGAAGGAGATCACTACACATACTTCAGGCAAGGGTACATTCCTTTAATCCCTGTTCTTCAGCTGCCGAACAGTGCAACACAAAGTTGTTTCCTAGATAAGGTTATCACTGTTCAAAAACTTTGCCTCAGGCAGGGTCTCAAAAGGCAGGTTTCACTCAGCCTCTGTATTCTATTTAGGGTAAGGTGGTCCTCTATGTGGTTTTGATCTACAACTCTCATCACAGTTGATACTGGCCATGCTATCTGGGGCTGATGAGATCTGGAGTCCTACAACACTTGAAGAAATCACAAGCCTCCCACTCTTGCTTTTGTGAATATATATGCGTTTAGCCCTTCTAAATATATGTGTTTAACCCTCCTCTCTAGGCATCTATCTTTTTATAGATGGAGACGGACAAGCCTCCTTGCCACTGGTGCTGCCTCTCCCTATCTGAGTAGCTCTTTATTCCCCGCATCAGTGGATTTCCTACATCCCAAGCTCATTGTGGTTTCCCAGGAGCCCCACCCCCAATTTACATTCAGGCTCGACTTGTGGTCCAGTCCCAGCATCAAGTACTTTTAACCTCATGGATTGATGGTTTGGATGATTGGGTATTATGTTTTAATGACCTTGAAATGCCTCTTAAGAACATATATGTTTATCCAAGCTTTGTGGGACTCCTACACTTTTAATTGTTTTGTATACTGCCCCGTTTTATTTGTTATATATCCTCCATTTTAATCTAGGTTTTTAGGAAATGTTGCTGCCGGTGATCTGAAAACCACGGAGATATCTTGATGGGATTAGTCAGATGAGCAGGAAGATGTCTTGGCTCCCACTTGCTGACAAATGTGGACTTGGGTGACCTGTTTTTCCAAAAGCTTTAATGCCCAGATTATTGTGATACAGATGCAAGTGTGTTATTCAAAGGCACAGTAGGCAATACACATGCTTAGTGGCACAGATAAAGGCACAGCAGGTGACATGGCTACTCAGCTGAAGAAGCTGATCCAACACCTCCTTCAATCCTATGATAAGGAAACAGGGTGGGCACGATTTAGCATGGCAAGCAATTCCATTTGTTAGCAAGCCATCTAGCATCCCACGTGAAAGGCTGAGCCCTCTTCCATCTGTTCGTGCCTCTGTTGGTGTCTCTAGGGCCCGAGTGATGGGGGAGGTGTCCCTGCTTAACGAGGGGTGAACTGGACAGGTGGAGCAGCCCCCTCTGGAGAGATGAGGCTAGACCCAGCATCTGACAACTCCAGAGGTGAAGGGAGCGGCAGGTAGGCACAGTGGAAGTGTCAGAGGAGGACTCCAACAGCAATGGAGAGGAAGGCAGGGCGTGAGAGTAGGTTGAGGGAAATCCCCCTCCCCACAAACTTGGACCCTCCCTAGGATCCTCAGCATCAGACTCCCGTGAATCAGAAAGCAACCACCCTGCAGCTCTCCCCAGGGTCCTCTGCAAATCAGCCCTCTTCGTTGCTCAGAGTAGTTCAGGGAGCTGGAAGACTCTGATCCAGGGGAGGAGCCCACAGGGCTGGGAGAGAGTGCTCAAGATGCAAAGGATCCTTTTCTCAAAATGTATCTTCTGTACCATGAACAATAAAGAAAAACATTATATAAAATAATGCACAGGATCTACAGGAGGACTCTGACCCTGGAGAGGGTCCCAGTGGTTGGGAGTGGGGAGGCTCAGACTTGGGGGAAGAGCCAAATATGTTGTCAGAGGAATGACGCCTCCTCAGTACCATTGGATACCCTGACTTTACCTTACAGCTGACTGATATAGCACAGCTGGGTGCCACCTGCTGTCAATAAAGAGCCATCCTAATCAGGGGAGGTACTTAAGGATCAATCTGACTATGGGCCAAGCCCAGCCATCTCCATCTCTGTCTCCAAGGATGTAGAGGTGATGGCACCAATTTTTTAACAGACCCTTCAAAATCAGCCAACCTGAAGGAGTAGGAGCTTGCTTGGCCAGTCCTGAGGCTCAGAAGTTCAGCCATGTGAATGACTGTGCCCACTCCACTCTTCAAAAGGAAAGTCCAAAGGGCATGTCAATTGCTGGGATGCTGTTTTAGCTTATGCGCAGCCATAGAGCTCTGCTTTGCCTTAGAACTATGTAACCTGTAGACTGCTCTAAGCTGGGATGCCATACCGATTTTTGGAATAAAACCTTTAAACCAGTAGTTTGAGTTCCAAGTCTGAAAGTGGGAGTCAGGACACTCACCACATCTGCTCATGTGTGGGTGGGTGAGGGACCAAAACAGAGAGGAACCAAGTCTCCACTGCTGCCACCATGGGAAGAAAAGAAGGTAGGGTAGGGTGATGTTAAAAAAAAAAAAGGTAAAGGACCCCTAGACGGTTAAGTCCAGTCAAACTTGACCACGGGGTGTGGCGCTCATCTTGCTTCAGGCCGAGGGAGCCGGCATTTGTCCACAGACAGCTTTCCGGCATGACTAAACAGCTTCTGGCACAATGGAACACCGTGATGAGTGCCAGGGCGCATGGAAACGCCGTTTACCTTCCTGCCGCAATGGTACCTATTTATCTACTTGCACTGGTGTGCTTTCGAACTGGAAAAAGGGGCTTGGGGCAAACTGCAAAGCGGGACTGGCAAGGGGGTGAGGGATTGGGCAGAGGGTGACAGGTAGGTGGGGTTGGTGAGTAATGCAAGCAGGGGTGGCAGCCCCTGGCATTTTAATATTGTTGGCAGAAGTGATGTGGCAATCCTTTTAGGTCACTGCTTCCTTCAGGATGACCTAGCAATGTAACGGAGTTCAAAATTTCTGAACCAAAATTTCCCATAAAAGAATTTTATTCTGAGAATTGTTTTTCTAACTCTGAAAATGTTGGAGAATTTTGCCCCCCCAATTATGCCTCCTCCCTATTCCCCCCACTTACAAATAAACTGGAGGACTTCAGAAGGCCATTTTCTCCCAGTCCTATACATAAGATCACAAGATCTACACTGTGGAGGGCAGCCAAAGTTGGCAAAAGTCCATCCCTTAGAACCAGCATTTTTAGACAGAGGCATCCTGACTGAGCATTGCTTCTTTTTATAATGAAAACCCTCCAATGAATAGTGTAGAAATTTGTCACAAATGTAATTCAGCTGTCACCAGGAAGAGAAGCAGCAGTTTATGATGGGTTATCCCTCTTGTTCAAACAACAAAATAAAACTGTTGACAGCAAAACATTTTTAAAAAGCAATTCAAGGCAAGTAACCAAAAGAGTGGTGGGAATTTTAGTAAGACATGGGCTCTTCAAGTACAGCGTTAACTCAAACATGATCATAAATAATGAAAAAAAATCCTGCTTTATTTTGATTTGAACAAAAAAGTAAAAATGCTACAGTAGGATTAAAATATATGACTATGAAGATAACCAAATTGTGACACACACAAGTGATCACATTTCACCGTATAGTAAAAGCTGCATCTCCAATAAATAAAGCATTTGCAACACCATTCACAAGCAGCTTTTGTAGACTATCAGCCTAAAAACAGGGTTCATCTTTACTTTTATCATTGTACACTGCTAACAATAGACACTTAACTGTAACTAGCAAATAACAGATATTATATTAAGGCCTATTCAAATGCTCAGCAGTGGAATTGTATCAGCCTGTCTTCATATCAGCCTCTTATTCTGTCTACATGTGCCACTTACATAAGTGACTACTTTGAGATGAAAGTGTATGTAAAGGATGGTCTAATCTGAATGTTGTGCAATAAGTTAACATCACCAAAGAAGTGCATTGCTCCTGCGCACGACCAATGTTTTCTAACAAGCCGTAGCATTGCTAAAACCCATTGCTAACTATAGCAAAGCTTTTCTTAATTGACCTAGATTTCAGCTACAAAAGATTTATTTAGGTGCAGAGAAAATGAGTTCCAGTTATCAAACAATGGTGGAGAAATATTCCACGGCCTTCAGTTTCTAGAGCAAGTACAGGGCTAAGTGTAATCTCACTGTATACAACTTGTAGAAGTGACAATAAAGTATTTCAATAAGTGCTGTAAAAATGGCCTGAGCAAAGAGTGAGATATTCTGTTCAACATTCTAGTATATCCCTATAGAAACGTTCTAACAGCTGATGGGGCCTAATTCATTTTTGCAAGATATGTTGGATGCAAAATGCACTTCAACTCCATAAACTCTGGAACTAAGTCCTGGTGTGCACGCGTGCAGGGGGAGATATACAATGAACCACATAATTGTAAAGTCAGAAGGGTCCCTGTGGGTGATCTAGTCCAAACCCCTGTTTTGCAGGAATCTCAGCTAAAACTGCCATGACAGCCAGGGGCTGTCCTACTTGGTCTGCTTTTTTCTTTTTTTTGTACTGATCTTAATCTGACGAGTTAATGCTGAAATTGTTTTTATTAGATTTGCTTTTATTGTGATTTTCCCCCTTCCTGATTTATTTTGAGTTGTGATTTTCTTGTGTGATGTTTGGATGCAAGCCAACGGGTGTTTTATTTTAAGGAAATATTAAACGATCAGAAATATTCAACCATCGAAATGAAAACATATTTAACTGATTACGTTGCAATTCCTTTTTTTCTCCACTGCCTGGAGCAGCTGTGTAAACCACAGGTCATTTCTTCTTACTGAATTCTCCTTGAGAAGTGTTAACCATTTCTTCCAGCTTTCTATTGAAACAGAGCAGACACAGCTATCTCTCCATTTCTTAAGTAAAAAAAATTAACAGAGATGCTGAAAAGCACTGAACACATAGGTCGAACCCCTTGAAAGACTTGGCATTATAAGGCACCTAGGCAAATGGCTGACAAGTAATCTTCCCTACTGTTTTACCTGTAAATGGACAACCCTTTGGAATACATCTTCTCTCATGCTCATCTCAACATCAAAGTGAGAAAGTCTCTTATCAGCTTCTGTGCTTGCTGCACGGACATCTTTATCAGGTGAGACATGTTGTGGAAAATCCAGCATGCTTCTTTCCACTAAAAGAAAACCAAAAATAAACAACGCCAAAATAAACAAAAGACAGAGGATAACAGCAGTACTCAGTACTAGTCATTTGGAGGAAGAGACCTTCCTACTATGAACAAATTATCTAGATTTTGTTAATAAAAAAAAACCTATTACTATTTCAAGATTTGTTTGAGCTTTTCGTAGAAAGTCAGGCAGAAAAAGTGTTTTCTTAGCTAATTCCATATGCATGCAAAGCCCAAAATGGTCAACTTCCTACCTAGCCTGCACAATTCAAAGTTGTTATAAAATCACATTGCTGAAAATCTAATTCCATACTATATCATGCCCCTGCTGTTATATTTAGCTATAAGCACCTGTACTTAGAAATCTTATTTCACAAGTTTAGTCTCTCCCCTTCTGGTGCAAATTGAAATTGATACTTAGCCATGTCACAATTACCTGAATACTCCACTTCTATATCTGCTAAAGCCTGTACAGTGTTCTCATAAGTAACCTCTTCCATATCAAGCATTCCAATGCTGTCGTAGATTTGCTTTGTTTTCTTGATAAGTTTTTCAGTCCTTGTTCTAATTTGCTCTGGCGGCAAATCCCATTTCAAGAAGTTTCGGTCTGATGCACTACAGGATGAGGCCTTGAAAGCTGAAGTAATTTCTGTTCCTAATGTCATTCTGAGTAAAACCCTTGGACCACCTGCCCTGTAAATAGAAGGAGGGGAGAAACTAAATAGCAAAAGAAGCAATATAGCAAAAACTGGGTTAACTGGAAATTACAGGTGCACTTGTGGAGATTAACTATTAAGAAATATAAGGTGAGATGAAAGATTCTGAAGTTTTTTTATACATCTGAAATGTTTTGATAAGGACTGGGATTAGAGACATGAAGGCCCAGAAGAAAACTGGGAAAGGGGACAGAAAATTTGAGGCAAATCCATATATAGTGTGGCGAAACCATATATTCAGATGTAGCTCAACAATGCCAACCAGTGTCTGGGGAATTCAGACACCTACTATGAAGATGAATAAACATATTTTTGCTTTCGTCTCTGAATAAACATTTTTGAAATTACAGTACTCCTTTTTTTCATTAGAGATAGCTGGATAAAATTGGCTCATTCTTTTGACATGTAGGTGTAGAGTTAAAAAGGTGGCACTACCCTCTTAGGAATGTTCTGGCTGGCCACAGAGACACTGGAATCTGAGATGCTGCTTCTGAATTATGGTGCTGGAGGAGACTCTTGAGAGTCCCATGGACTGCAAGAAGATCAAACCTATCCATTCTTAAGGAAATCAGCCCTGAGTGCTCACTGGAAGGACAGATCCTGAAGCTGAGGCTCCAATACTTTGGCCACCTCATGAGAAGAGAAGACTCCCTGGAAAAGACCCTGATGTTGGGAAAGATGGAGGGCACAAGGAGAAGGGGACGAAGGAGGACGAGATGGTTGGATAGTGTTCTCGATGCTACCAGCATGAGTTTGACCAAACTGCGGGAGGCAGTGGAAGACAGAAGTGCCTGGCGTGTTCTGGTCCATGGGGTCATGAAGAGTCAGACACGACTAAACAACAACAACAAGATAGTGCCAAACAATCCATTTTAGGAAAGAGCCAAGCTTATGTTAGGCCCATTCATTTCAGTGGGTCTATTCTGAGTAAAACTTTGTTTCATATCACCCTAGGGTTCATATATTCTCTCGCACAGAGAGAAAGAGACCCATTCTGCCTGGTGGCAGCCTATAAGTTAAAAAATGGGGACTGGTCAGTAAGGCAACCCCCTCCACAGTCTGTCACAATAGTAACACAATAGGAACAATAGTAGTATCAGAAAAAAAGAACTTTAGGAAAACCAAGTGTGTGGGAGACAGCATGTGGAGAATAGCCTTTCAGGAGGGAAACTGTCTGACATACAAGGTTTAGGTAATAGCTTGGCAGCAGCTTGAGTGTGGAGAAAGTAATTTTTTCTGTTTTCTCTCTTACCCATAATAGTTCTGTTCCCAAGGCTAAATTTGCTTTCTAAGCTACCAGCAGGCCACTGCCCCCTCATTATTCCAATTTTCTCTAAACGTACAAGGGATAAATAAACAAAGGAGTTCTCACAATCCCACAATTCATGCTCCAAAACACATTCAAGCTTGCTATTGAGGGGCGGGGTGAAGTTCCAACCACAGATTTCAATTAGACCTTTTTATGACAACTGTTATCAGGATTTAGGTAACCATGAGAAACCTGACAATGTAAAGTGAAGCTGAAATTTAATCTCAGCAACAGACCTCCAGACCCTGGGAACTGAACCACAGCAACGCCAGGAAATACAAACGATGGATTAAAACGTCAAAACGTACAAATTACTTATCTCTCCAACAAAGCAGTCCCCTGATAAACAAGAGAAGTGAAAATGAATTTGGCAGCTTGCAAAAAGATGGGCAGGGCAATCCGGTGGGAGCATCATGTAATTGTGATCCTATGTATTCCCAGCGGCAGAGCAGAAAGCAAAACAATACCAGCATAAAGGAAGAAGAAGAATGAAACAATGCCAGCAGCCACTCCACTGCATCCCTGCTAACGCCACCATTACTGCAGTACCCTGTGGAGGGAAGGAACCAGTCAACAGTGGATGAAAGCAGGTGTGCCATAAGATTATCACAGAATCCAGTCTATGAACCCGCCAAGACGCAATCCACCAGCACACAGAATCTACTGTGTGAGAGGCTCCATGGCCTAGAAGGGCAGCAATTGACCCTTGCAGCCACAAACTCCAGGGCTCTATTTAGACAAGGGACGGATGGAATCCCTGGCCAGCAATAAACATCCAGCAAAAAACCCTTTTGCCAGGAACAAAATGGCAACTCTGCCTGTTTTAAGTATTAAAAAAGTATTTAAAAATTATATACTGTCCTTCAACAGGCATTGCTGGTGTGATTTGCATAAAAGGAAAATGCAAAAAGAACAAGAAAGAAGAAGGGGGGGAAGGCACAGGTAATAATCAGAAAATGTTAAGACTAAAAGGCAGGAATCACCATATAAATACAATTGGCAGGGATAAAATTAACTCTAAAAGACCTGGGAAAACAAGGAGGTATTTGCTTGGCACTGACAGGACAACAAAACAGCTGCCAGGCAGATCTCTCTGGGGACAGCATTCCATAACTGGATGCCATTACTGAGAAGGCCTTTCTTTCCCCTGGTCCTGAAGATGTTACCGTTTGGGTAGGCACATGAGGAGATAGGCTGGTCCTAGGCTGTAAAGGGATTTAAAGGTCAAAATCAGCTTTACCACTACAACAGCACCAGTGTGGTGTGATCATGACAACCAATCCCACTTAGTATTCTAGGCGCTGCATTCTGAACTAGTTGCCATTTTTCAAAGGCGTCATATGGAGCACATTACAGTCTAACCTAGAGGGTAGCAGAGCACGGAACATTATGGTTAGACTCTCTCTGTGTCCAGACTTTATCTAGCACACCAATATAAGCTGCTAACAGGGACTTCATGCCACAGAAGTGACAAATGCCCTCAGTGACAAATATGCATCAAAGAGAACGTTGAAGTGGCGAGCCTGTTCCTTCAGGCAAAAGGTGACTGTGTCAAGTACAACATGAACTCTCTGTGCAGATAAGCTACCCAACCACAGCACCTCTGTCTCACCTGTATTGAGCATCAGTTTATTAGTCCATTCCCCCAGCATACCTTATTATCAAGCCCCACCAGAAGTAACTGCTGAAGGGGCTGTTACAGGAGAACATTGAGCTATTATCCATTGGCAGAGCCTAGACAAGTTGCAGATCCAAAGCCCTGGTAGGGTGACAAACAGCACTGCCTGCTTTCATTATAGGGCCCTAACCATTAAGACATCCAAGCTGAGTAACAATGGCAGTAAGGAGCGCTAACATCAGGAGAACACGCACACATATCTAATACAGACAGCTTTTATTGAATAATAGCAGTAGTGGGATGAATTCTGACAGGTTCACAGAATCATGGGACTATCAATCTTGCATGGTCCATGTACTTCTGAAATATGCCCAAGGGTTAGCTGAGTAGCTAGTGCAGTGTTCCCCATCACTGCATCCCATAAAAAACCAAAGGAGATCTAGAGTGAGATCACCTGGCATAAATTCACTGTACTGATGTTGTGTTGGGCATTCAAGGGGAATTTAGGACTGGGCGTAGTTTAGGGATCAGATCACACTTTGTGGCTTTCAATTAAAGAGCAGGAAGAACAGACAGCTATTTTTGGAGGGTGCTCACAGAGTATCTCCATATTAAGAGCTTGAAAAACTTTTTCTGCAGATGTGGCGTTCCTTGGCCATGCAATTAACCACTGCAACTAGTACATGCACATATAAAGGAAAATGAGGACTGTTCTGTTGCTCTCATTTGCTCCACTCGCTCTCTGACCTTAAGAAGTCTAACCAAGGATTATCCCACAAACATTCAACCAATGATAAAGGCCATTTACACTAGAAAGTAACTTCATAGGGACTGGTGACAGAAGCACTGCTCAAAATATGAAGAACAGCTTCAGGACAACAAGCAGCTTGCATTATTTATGCCTCGTGTAGAGATGAAACTTTACTTACATCAAACTCAAAACACTCTGTACATATCTAAGTTCTCCTGTAAGATTCACTCATCTGTCTTTCATGTATCAGATATTTAACATGCACTGATTTACTGCCTGATTCTAAGCAGAACTATGTAAATTCAGGTCCACTAATGGATTTAGACAAGACTAAATTGGCAAAGGAATGGCTGCTGGACTAAAGCAATGATTTCAGAATATGTCACAGAGGCATGCTTATTCAAATGGCATCTAAAACCTGCAATCACCCTCATTAGTAACACAGATAGTGTCTTAGAAATTCTTTTTTTTTAGCCTGTACCTTCATCACTGTAAAATATGTATAGGACCATAGCATATTATATACAGGCAGACTGTTATAATCACTTTAGCTCCTAAAGACAAGAACAATAGCTTTACAAGTTTCTCAATCATATATTAAATATACAAGCATGTCTGTTACAAACGCAGCTAAGCACATTTCAATAAATTAACTCCAAAATGCATGAGCAACTTAATGCTTTTGCTAAATGATTACTGAACTGGGCCCTTTTGTCACTGTTCTAGATTAAGGTGTGTCAGAAACTGTATTGTATTATTAAGTAAGGGATCTCATGCAGTCAAGGCAGGCACATTTGGGTGCTCTTTAATCCTACTTCTCAAACTGCAATCCAGTGAAAGCATACACCCAACTGGTCCCATAAAGATTAATCTAAAAATCTAATGCTATTGAAATCATGACATGTGGACTCAATATACATCAGACGTTCGTTGCATGCATCCCACATGAATGCAGGTTGCTGCCTGCAAAGGCTCATGTCACAATAAATAGATTCCCATAGTGTGCCCCCTTTTTTTTTCTTTTTGCATGTTCGATAGTTTCCGTCACATTCTGGCACCTAAAGGAGGGAGAGGGTGGCCAATATGTTCAGGAGGGCTGAAGTGGGGTGGGATCCTCTTTTTCAGAGATGACAACTCCTAAACCGCAGCGATTCCCTCCTCTGCGTCTATTTGAAACACCCTTAAGAATAAGGTATGGCTTTCTTCCTTAGCATCTGAAGGAAGAAACGGGCGCTGGAAACAGTTCAAGGGAAGGCGATAGAGAGGTTAACCTATACTACAGGAGCGATTTTACCAAACGGCTACTCCCACCGCGGAAGGGAGGGCATGGCCGCTTAATACACTTGTGCCACACAAAAGATATTGCGGCCAGGAGGAAAAAAGACAGCCAGGCCCCCTCCCACCAGCGTCCTTCAGATACCACGCGGGGCGAACGGATCCCACCCGAGACGCTGCCGCCTTACTCCTTTGCAGGTGAGGCGAGGTCTTTCTTGCACGGAGTACCTGCAGAAGCTTCGGCCCGCGGAGACGCCCAAGCACAGCATGAAGGGAAGCCGAGCGAGGAAAAGCAGTCCCGCTCCCAGCCAAGGACGCCCCCCTCTCCGCTCCCACGCGCCGGCCGCTCCCAGCTCCCTTCGCCGCCTGCCGGGGCGCACGCACAGCTCCCCCCACGTGCGCCTGCAGCCGCCGCCGCCGCTGCCGCTTCGCGCGCTCGCCGCCCAGCCGAGCTGCGCATTCACTTCCGCCGGGCCAGGTCTCGTTCCCGCCGCCGCCGCGCGCACAGGCGCGCCCCCTTCAGGCACGCGCCCGCCTTCCCTCACTCCCTCACACGGACGACAACAACGCCTCGGGAGCGAGCCGGGGACAAGTTTGTGCCTCTCATAGCAGCAGCGGCGGCGGACGAAAGCAGCTTGGGAGCGGACAGCCATTGCTCCGCCCGCCCGGTCTTCCTCCTCCTCCTGATCCTGCTGGCGCGGTAAGCTCTTCTGCCATTGCCCTGCCCTTCTGCATGGAGTGTGCCGCGCAAAAGCCGCAGAGAGGCTGCCGCCGCCGTAGCCGCCCGTACAAGAAGGAGGGACGGGGCGAACATCTGGCTCTCCCAGATGTTGGTGCGCATGTTGGTGAGGAAGGGCGCCCAGCATCCCCGTCGCTTTCCTTCTCCCTTTTGCAGGTCTTCGCCTCGCACCCCACCCCTCAGGTAGCTCGCCGTCTCCCGCCTTAGCGTCCGAGGCGAGCTCGGTCTCACTCGCGCACCTGAGGGAGACGTAGCCTAGCCAGATGGAGAAAATGGGCGAGCGGAGGTGTTTGTGTCGGGTTTCCTAGGCGGGTTGCTGGCAGGGTTTCTCCCGCGTTGGGTACGCATTGCATGACTGTCCTCGGCTCGTGGGCTCCCAGCCCTGAAGCTGTCCACCTGCCAAATGTGCGTATTGTGGGTGAACCAGGAGGGACCTGCCGAAAGCATCCCCAAGGAATAACGGTTTCCGAAATAGAAGCGGCCAGTTATATAACTCCATAAAGTGCACCGGGGGGTGCAAAATGCTGCCGTTATTAAGGACACGCTGCATCCTCCTGCGCTCGGCAACGTTTGCCTCGAGTGGGCTGCGCCACCATTAAAACAAACACACCGTTTATTATATGACAACACTTCTTGCTTCGCCATTGGCTAGCAAGCCTTTGGATGTTCATCATCAGCCTTAATAGTGCAAACAGTATTTTTAGCATCGGTATTATGAAGTCTTTTCAGGGTGAATTTGGCAGCGGGCGGTGGGGAGGAGGAGAACCTATGAAGTTGTACTGGTAAAATTTTCCCATAAGTTACATAATTTCTAACAGAGATGATGCTGGATGCAAATGAAGCTCTGAGTCAGCACTGTGTCACTAATCACAAGTTTGCATTGAGGTCACCATGTTCTAGTCTTCATCCTAAAGGGCAGGTCTATGTTGGAAGAAGACAGGTCTTATATTTATTTTCATAAAAGGGCATGTTTCCCTTTGCCACACAGTTCAGCTGTGTGGTTCATTTAAAACAACAATGTGGAAAGCAATTTTGGGCTGTATTGATAGGTGATAAATTATTATTAATAATAATTTATTTCTATAGCAGCATCAGTGAGCATAGAGCTTTACAGAGTCCTTAAGGACATTCCATACACTGGAGGTAGTTGGTGGATTTTTGGGGGGTGGGTGGGGCAGCTGCTGCTGTTTTCATCTCTTGCCCAGGGCTAATATGCTTATGCATTGTGTAAATAACTGTGGCCAGCCTGAAGCCTAGCTGGAATGTGCATGCGAGTTGCTGTAGGATGGTGATAGGAAGAGTTCAAAATATTTACCAGGAAGCTTCCTTGCAAAATGTTTTATCGATTGTTGTCGTTTCATTTGTTTTTTGTTTTCTAAACTGCCTCAGGAATATCTAATTGAAAGATGGTTTAGACATGTTTTAAATAAATAAATAAAGTGTATGCCTCAGCAAAACCCAAAATGCAGCCTCACAGTAGACATAAGATCCATAGTGACAAACCTGCTGTCTTTCGTGAACATCTTGAGCCCAGCAACATGTAGTCTGAGTTCTTGTCTCCGGTGGTGAGTGCACTCATTCTTCAGCACTGGGACTTGGTTTGCCATTAAATGAAGAAAAGAGCTCCCTTAAGGATATGGAATGTGCCAAGCTTCCTCCCAAACTCAGGCTTCAAGCAATTTCTAAAAGCTCATTTGGAACCCAAGCTCGCCCCATCTTAACCCCCTCAAGGTTCACAGAATCTTAGCACTACGACTCGCTCCCCTGGCCTCTGAGTATGAGCCACCAAGCATAGATCATAATAGCCTCCATATGCCAGTAGTCCAGAAAATGTACAACATTTGGCTCAGTCTGGTTTATCTCAATTTTATTGAAACATAAATTATTGTCTTCCCTTTGAACGCCCCCTCCTGCATTCATAAATAGACCAACACTTGATATTGTTTCATTGGTAAAATTAGAGGGAAAATGACTATTACTCATACTTATTCTAAGTACAATCACAAGGGCTCCTGATTGGATGTCCGGCTATGTGATGCTGAATGTTACCTGTTATCTCTGTTCTTTGTTTTTGTTTAAATTCACGAACCAAGAACTTACACATTGATCACTAATAATGAACCATATGTTATAGATATTACTGAAAATTTATTATGCTATTTTTGTGATATACAAATGAAATAAGAAGGTTTGGTATATTTATTTGTATTATTATTCCTACGATCTTTATTTATAAAATCCAATAAAAGGTTATTAAAAATAATAGCCTTCATATTTTGAGAACTAAGGAGAACACTTGAACAGACCAGGAAACACACCCCAGCTCTACTCTTTGGGGAAACTGTACCCAAACTGCAGCAACCTCTCTCTTGCTCACTTCAACCCCTCCCAGAAGTCAATATTGCAACCCAACCAAATCCATGCATATACAGGTGAAACTCGGAAAATTAGAATATTGTGGAAAAGTTCATTTATTTTAGTAATTCAACTTAAAAGGTGAAACTAATCTATGAGATAGACTCATGACATGCAAAGTGAGATATGTCAAGCCTTTATTTGTTATAATTGTGATAATCATGGTGTACAGCTGATGAAAACCCCACCAACAGTCTCAGAAAATAGAATATTAAATGAAATCAGCAAAACAAGGACTGCAAATAGAGCAATATTGGACCTCTGAGAAGTAGACGCATGCATATGTACTCATTACTTGGTTTGGGCCCCTTTTGCATCAATTACTGCCTCAATGTTGCATGGCATGGATGCTATCAGCCTGTGGCACTGCTGAGGTGTTATGGAAGACCAGGAAGCTTCAATAGCAGCCTTCAGCTCTTCTGCATTGCTCGGTCTCATGTCTCTCATCTTTCTCTTGGCAAAGATTTGGGGAGCCATCCCCCCTGACTCTCCCCTCCCTTCTCCACAGCACTGGACGAGCCCTGGTGGCTGCTTACCTGTGTCTTGCAAGCTGCAGGGGCTGGCGGCGGCAGCGAGGGGACGATGAGTGGTGCATGAAAGGGCTCCAGAGAAGGGCTGCTTAAAATGGCTGCTGGCACCAACAAAGCCCAGCCCCCTTCCTCCTCTAGGCAGGGCAGGAAGAAGCCAGGAGGGAGGGAGGAGGTGCCGGCACCACCACCAAGGGAAGGAAAGGGAAAGAGTGCATGTGCGATTCCCGGACCATCCGCGGGCCGGATCCAGAAGGCAATTGAGCCTGATCCGGCCCACAGGCCTTAGTTTGCCGACCCATGCCTTATCCCTTCCCTGTTTTGGTTTTTGGAGAGGAACAGCAATGGGGGGAAGCAAAAAAGATTGGTTAATGCAATACTATTTAATTGAATTTAAAAAAAAATTGGAGTGGGCAGAGCCCTATAGTCTATGATAAAGGAGTCTTCATTATCCACAACAAACTCTTCTAGCTTCAGCGTAATTCAGTAAAGTAGCATCCAGAAAAACTGTTGTTGAAATCTAAAAGCTTTTGCGTTCTCAGTTTTACTGGGTTTCCCTGTATTTCCTTAGAACTAATTTGATTGTTCTTACTTTTGTGATTCAGGGGAGCTTCACAGACCTTGAAAATGTCTTCTGTCAAACGCCTTGTATATGCTGTCATCCATTTCTTGCGAGAACAGAGTCAGATGGATGCATTCACATCAGATGAACAAGAAAGCTTGGAAGGTTTGTGGTGATGACTGAAGAGTCATGATGCCTGATGGAAGTGTTGATGTCAAATGTGTGAAAACCAAGAGAGGCATTAAAGCTGTGTTTGTTTTATTCTGTGCTGGAGGTTTTCAAGCAGAGACACCTTGTTAGAAGATGACTAATAGCAGACAGACTTCCCAGAAAGACAGCTTGTCGAAACACAACCAATGTTCCCTTGCAGTGTGTAATTCCTAGAGAGAGCTGGGTCAGGTTGCAGTGGGCAGCCAGGCCTGGCGCCTGGTTTGTCTACATGCTGTGCATAGTTAAACTGTGGAACTCACTCCCACCGGAGGCAGTGATGGAAGCAGCAATGGACACCAACTAGGGTGGCTTTAAAAGAGGATTGGACAACTATATAAAGGATAAGGCTTATCAATGGCAACTAGCCATGATGATCTGTCTCCATGATCAGAAACAGCAAGGCTTCTAAATGCCAGTTTCTGGAAACCACAAGAGGAGAGAATGCTCTTGTGTTCGGGTCTTGCATCCAGGTTTCCTGCAGGCATCTGAGCAGCTACTATGAGAACAGGATGCTGCCATAGATGTCCCATTGGCCTGATCCTTATGCTCTTAGTTTACATGGAGCAACAATGAGGCTCAGTTGGCAGGAAACCACAAACTGGGTAGCCAAAAATTGCTTCTGGAGGCTGGTGAGGCTCATCTTTCTTGCTTCATACACCACGGAGGCACAGTAAAGTCTTCCATGTGACATGCTTAGATCAAAGGCAAGGATAGGGAGGTATAGCTCTAGGTCTGCCCCTCTATGTTGAGGGAATGTCAGCTGGGAGTGGCTCCCATCCTGCTTGGTATGCAGTCAACTGGAGTTTCTCAGGGTACTTCCTACCCGAGAGTTGAAAGGAGATGATGGCAAAACCATAGTTCATTTGGGAGCCATCTGTGGGCCAACAGCAGATTCATTACATACATGAAATTGCCTTATTCTGCACTGGATGTTGATGTGTGATTGCTAGGCTGTAAATGAACTGACCTGGACCCTGAGATCATCTGAGGCACTGCTTCATGTTCCTCCTCCACAGGAGGTTTGGAGGATGGCAACACGGGATCAAGCCTTTTCAGTGGTGGCCCCCTTTCATTCAGAACAGTGAACTGCAATACTTGCATAGGCATAACCCAGCAAAATAGAGTCAAATGGAACTGACATGCTGAGGGATTGGAAAAATTGTGCTTGATTAGACAGTAGAATTTTTCTCAGTGTAAGCAATCCAAGCATACGGTGAGATTAAGTAGCAGGGGAAGAGAGATGTTAAAGCTCAAGCAGAGCATGAAGCAATATAGCTTCATGAGAAGCTATATTGAGAAGGCTATGGATCAGGCTATAGATTGGGCTGGGGAACATGGGACTCTCCAAATTTTGGGGGCTCCAACTCCCATTATCCCCAGCCAGCATTGCCACTGGTCAGGGATGGTAGAAGCTGAAGTCCAACGTTCATCTGGCACGTCACAGGCTTCCCACTCTTGACATATATATACAGTGGTACCTCAGGTTACATACGCTTCAGGTTACATATGCTTCAGGTTACAGACTCCGCTAACCCAGAAATAGTGCTTCAGGTTAAGAACTTTGCTTCAGGATGAGAACAGAAATCATGCTCCGGCAGCGCAGCGGCAGCAGGAGGCCCCCATTAGCTAAAGTGGTGCTTCAGGTCAAGAACAGTTTCAGGTTAAGAACAGACCTCCGGAACGAATTAAGTACTTAACCAGAGGTACTACTGTAGTGTGACTGGTTGCACAGATTGAGGGCATAGACAGGAATAGGAAGCTTATACAGAAGCAAAGAGGAGTCATGACCTATTAAGGAAAATGGGTGCAGCAAGATGATGGGACTAATCAGGCAGGCATCACAAATTGCTTGGCAATTGAGGCCCTTTGTATGACTTACAAGACCTTTTACACTCTCCTATATAAATATATGGGAATTCTGAGTTCCTTGGCACAGCACGTACCTTGACCAGCAGAGTATGGGCAGCAGGAATTGAGCAACTTCATGCATGGAAGAATCTGCCCCTTCATCCCCCACCTTGCCATACTCCCAGTAATAATATATGGGGTTGGCGGGAGATGGAGCATCAGTGGTGCCCTTCAAGTGGTGATGCCCCTCCCCAGGAATGGGAAAGGCAGGCCAGAGGTCCAGGGAACTCATGAGTTTTTCAGTGGCTCCACAGGTGTGCACCTGTGGGCTGCTTCTATTTTGGAGGTGCCCCCCCAATACTTACTGTTACCCTGTTGTGCCCTTTTCCCCATGCCAGTGAGTGCTGCTCTGCCCTTGTGTCATGTGCCACTCTGGCATACTCCCTTGTTTTTTCGCAGGTTTTTTCTTAACATCAAATGCAGTTTTGCTGGGGGAATATGTATTCGGGGTTTTTTTAAGGCCTTGCTGGCCTGCAAAGATTGAGGGTGTGATTCCATGTTGAGCTTGCTGGCTTGGAAAGCATCTCAGCAATAAAAAAGAAGGCAGCTTGGCTTTTTGTTAGGAAAAGTTTGTTAAAATAAATAAACAATTGACAGGTTTTTTTGGAAAGGTTGGAAATAATTCCAGGTTAAAAGTTTCCTTTCCCAAAACAAAAGCAGTGTAAATATATAGTGTTGTACTCAGCTTGGGGAAACCCAGGTGAAAATCCAACCTGAACTGCAAATCTTACCGGCTGACACCAAGCCCTAACCTCTCAGGTTTGTTGTGAGAGAGTATCGGGTATACATTAGCTTCCTCCATCGTGGTGTCCCTCTAAATGTTTTGTGCTATAGCTCTCATCATCGTAGGATTATTGGCCATTCTGGTTGCGTCTGATGGGAGTTTTGGTCCCAAACAGGAGGGGGCATCAGTTTGGGGAAGGCTGATGTACATTACCTGAACTTTTTGGAGTAAGGGGGTAGGGGAACAGTGAAGCTGTTGCAATAGTTTTACTACAAAACATGCTCATTATTCTTTAACAGCAAAGTAACTTAATAACGTTGATATCCTATAAAACCATTCTGAATTCCAGAAAATTGTTTGGAAGTATCACAAACCTAAATAAACTTTTATTTGAAACCATTTGTTTATTTTAGACTGTTCTATCCCAGGAGGTCAGAGTGCTTTATAGCAATTGCAAACAGATGATGCAGTTTGTTCTAGAAGGCCCGTTATTATTTTAGAAACTCTGCACCTTTGGTACTAATGGAAGTTGTGCAGATGACATGTTCGTTTGTTTTTCTTGCTTGGATAACACATGCACTTTTGTTAAATCAAACATTTTTGTGACGTTAAAGAGAGAGAGAGAAATAAATATTGCAAGTTATCAAGATAGGCCCAGTCTGTCCTTATTTAGCCATAGAGAGGAATGATTGCCCAGCTCTTGTTGCCTGTTGGAAAGAGTTGACACTGTAGGAGTACATGAATGTGGTTGGTCTCTGATTGGTATAGAAGCAAGCCCAATTCAAACCATGGGTTCTCCAGCTGACTTGATTAACCAAACAGAGTTTGTTATAAATTTCAGTCCTCAGTCCAGATGACACAACAAGCCAAGATTCAGGGAAAATAAGCCTAAATGCTGCCAAAGTTGTGGGGCAGGAGAGAGGTTTTTGTGAGCCTAAGGATCCCCTCAGGCTTGTTCTAGGTCAGGCTCATAGCGTTAAACCATGGTTTACCGTTTCTTGTGAAAGTGGCCAAAGGGTGTAGTTGACTTAGAAACTAGGAAGACGTGATACAAACAGCCACACCATTATTTTTCCCATATGAAGTACATTTCCAAAGAAATTCTAATCCAAATTGCCTTTTGATGGAGGCTGAGAAAGCTGACTAGTACTTATAAATAACTACTTAAATCTATAAGTACTTATTGATGAAGCACGTTCCTGTGGCCAGGTTCGTCAACTGAGTCTGGGTCAATTGGTGTTGACTGAGAGAAGGCAGTGCTTTATTGATCCATTACATGTTATATTTGCTGATTTGCACAGATTTAGCTGCCAAAATCCACCTCTGATTTCTTTCAAGTTCTTTGGTTTCTGCCATTAATAACCTGCCTTTCTTCTATCATGGCATACATATGGTCACTCTTCCGCAATAGTGGGTTTGATTCTGGTTTTAGTGAATTGTCATTATAAGGCAGCAACCATGGAATGAAGAATTTGTGTTACTTGTATATATTGGTAAATTAACAGGTGGTTTCCTTTTTAAAAAACAAAACAAAACATATTTCTCTACAGTGGCAATTCAGTGTTTGGAGACAGTCTTTAAAATTAATTTGGAGGATTCCCATCTTGCAGTACCTATACGTTTGACAGAAATGTTTGAAGATTCTTGTCACAAGGTAAGATTGTATTGGAGCAGATATGTTTATAACTTAAATAATTTTAACAGGGCACAGTTATTTGTTTTCTTAGGCGGTTTTAGTTCTAGCATGTTAGTTGAAGAAAAGGGACTAGTGGTCTGGTTCAGACAATCATATCTGCCCTTAATAAGCTAAGAACAAAGAGCCTCACATGCAACTCTTTTTCTACCGCTTTTGCAACATGCCTGAATTCAATGAAGAAGCCACCAGTGAACCATAGTTTGAACAGGAAAACTTGGTGGTCACCATCTTTGGAACAAGCCAGAATCTTAAACCATGTGTTAGGCTTACTTAAACTTGTAGTCTTGTTCCATCCTGTCTTGTTCCAAGGCTGGTAAGTATAGTCAGTCTCCTGGTTTGGACAAGAGACTACCATGTTTCATTCAGGCCAGTAAAGGGTAGCAAAACAAACTGCATGTGCAGGTAAAAGGTTCATTCATATTTCATCTTATTAAGCCAAAATAATGATTGTTCAAACACTGGTAATCACTCAAAAGAGGCTTCAGTAATAAGTAAATATATACGTACAGATGAACTAAAAATGAATAAATACGCAATAGTCACTATCCTGATATGTGTGTGCCAAGTTTTTACTTGAAAGCAAGTGTTTAATTTTAAAATAAATAAGACTTTTATATGGGTACAAAGGTTCTGAGGGTCAGGTACCTGTTACTGAGTTAACAGCTAGATTACAAATTTCCGGCACCCAGCGTTGAGCTGCATGCAAGAATCTGCATATTTATTAAACAGGATTTGCAATATTCACCACTTGTTTTAGGCAGAAGACAGTCACGTGCTCAGATTATAATCAATGTTGTAGAAGCTGACTGCATGCAACTGAGTCCAGCATGGATCGTTGCACTTTCACACCCAACAGCTGGATGTTTTGTTTTAAAACCCAATGCAGTAAATGCAATTCATACCTGAATATTCCAGATTACTATATTATTTTGATATGTGTCTCAGTTCCTTGATGCACTTAAAAACGAGAGTAATATCCTTTATACCAGTTGATTTTTCTTGCCCTTTTTTTAGATTATTCATCTGTACCTTGCAAAATAAGCTAATATTAACTTATTAGCCTGCTCATTGCTGATAGGCCCACTCTGGCTAAATTTCCATTTAAGATTGGTAATAGAGGTAGCTAAATCTAGATGAGATTATTTAAAAAATGAGATTTACCTTTCTTTAAAATTCATATAGAATGAGATACTGCCTCTCTCAGATTCTTTGCCAGAGGATCTTGAGAAAGCTGACCAGCTGAAGGATGAAGGTATGTAACTGAGAAGAAGTAAACATACCATTCCATTTTGCCATAGCTTTCGTAGTTCAGTTGTCGGCCATATTGAAGTATGGTTCATGAATGATGCACACTATTCAGGCTTCTAGCCAACCCTGTTAGTAGAAAACTGTTGGGTATTGCATTAGATGCTGTAAAATAGAAAGGAATAGTCTGCTGGCTGCTCTGGAGGAAATGAAAAAGCACAGGAACACTTAAATGTAGAGCGCAATCCTTACTTGGAAGTAGGGCTGCAAAGTTAGTGAGCTGGACTCATTCAATTAAAAACTTCTAAACTACTAAAAAGGTTCCCTCATTTAATTGGGCAGCAGTTAAAATATATATTTTAATACAAACTTGTATAAAAAACTGTGGGTGAGTAGTTCAGTCTTGGAAGAGGCAGTCTTCTTTCTCTTACACAGAGAGTGTGTGTCTTCTGAGAAGGTAACTGCTATTAAACAAGGGAGGAATTCAGTGTCACACTCTTGAAATTGCTCTGACAGCATAAGATTTTCAGCTTGCCGGATGGAATAATCCTCCATTCTCCTCCCTCCCCATCACCTACACTGTTCTGGAGGTTCTTCTGACCTCCCTTGGAGCCAAATTTGGGGTGGCCATGGGGGAGAAGCAGGGGGAGAAGCCACGCTACACAAGCAGAAGTCCTTGTGCATGGCTTCCACTGAAAGGGCTTGTTGGGTGATTTCTGCCCCCCAGGTATTTTATTATCATCATACAAAATGAAAATAAATAGAACAAAATACTTATTGCTTCAGAAATATGATTTGTGCCTGTGTGCAAATTTAATTGCCTATCTAATTAGTAGATTAACATTTCTTTTAATACACTTGCAGCTCTGTTTGGAAGTACAGTGGTGCCTCGCAAGACAAAATTAATTCATTCCGCGAGTTTTGTCGTCTTGCAATTTTTTTCGTCTTGCGAAGCACGGTGTCGGGAAAGTTTTGGAAAAGCTTCAAAAATCACCAAAGTCTTTAAAAACCTCAAAAAAGGCTACCACACCGCGTTCTATGAGTTGCTCCTCAAAGTCAAGTCGCAACTGTATTAACGGTGTTAAGAAAAAGGAAACAAACTTGCAAGACGTTTCCGTCTTGCGAAGCAAGCCCATAGGGAAAATCGTCTTGCGAAGCAACTCAAAAAACCAAAAACCCTTTCGTCTAGCGAGTTTTTTGTCTTGCGAGGCATTCGTCTTGCGAGGTACCACTGTAATCCCACTGAATTTAGTAAAACTTACTTCCATAAAAGTGAGTTAGGTTCCTTGTCTCTGTTGTGTGCTGATTGCAAGCAACACCTTTAAGGCATGTTCCATTCCCACCCCCCAAGGAATGCTGGGCACTGTAGTTCGTTAAGGGTTGATGGGAATTGTAACTCTGTGAGGAAGAAGCTCACAGTGGCAGTGTTGAATCCAGGAGCACTGCCAAACTGCAGACCTGCTCCCTCCAGAACAGGCCATCTTCACACCTCCCTGATGCGATAACTCAGGAAACGTCCCAACTCAGTTTTCTCAGGATTCAGCTTCATTTTATTGACCTACATAAAGCCCATCACCATCTCCAAGCTCTCACCTCCACTGCCTCTCCTGATTCAGATGGAACAGAGAAATGGAACAGATATATTGAGTAACTGTTAAGTATTTTATATATACTGCAAACCCTTACAGTTGTTATCCCGTTCACCCATGCTGTAGGCCTATGAAATAGGTAATAAAAGCTTCCCCTATTTTAGAGATTTGGGGGCACCAAGGCTGCAGTTCTGTGATATGTCCAAGGCCCCCACTCATTTATTGACACGGCATCTAAACACAAAGCTTTCAGATACAGTTATAGTATTCTAGCTACCAAACTATACTGACTCGCTTATTCTACCCAGTTTCCTCCTTGTTTAATATGACGAAATCTCTTGAATTTCCACAAGCAAAGGTCATATGTTGTGTCATTTTGTATCAAGGAAAATTGCATGGAAAAGGCATGCATAGTTCTAGTTGGCATGTGTTATACTGCTGAAAGCAATTTGTTTCTGAAAAGACAATTGCAAAGGGCAACAGAGTCATAAAAGTGTTTTATGTGGTGTAGTTTATAACAATCTGTGGCTGTTGTTTAATACATCAGCATTCCAATTATCCACAAAATTTTATTGTTGCAATTTATTTCAGGTAATAATCACATGAAGGAAGAAAATTATGGTGCTGCGGTGGATTGTTATACTCAGGCTATAGAATTGGATCCAAATAATGCAGTTTATTATTGCAACAGGTAAATAAACTTGGAACAATGAATTATATCAGTTTTACCATCTGTCTATATGTCTACAGTTCCCCAGAACACGGCTCCAAACTCTTGTCCTTGTTTGATCACCAGCATGGTTTCCCCCCCCATAAAAACTCCACTACATTTCCTTAAGTAGTCCAGTTCAGTCCATTGCGAAGTTAGTTTTGTTCAGGTGACTTTGCTGGGGATAGCGTTGCAATGCTAAATATATTTCTTGGAATTAAGTTCTGCTGAGATTGATTGGAATTAATTTCCAAGGAAACATTATTAGGATTGGGCTGCAAATTAGTTTAAATGTTAGGATGTCAACATTACTGGATTGGGTTGATGAGTGGATGGATAGTCTCGTTGTTGATATACACTTTTCTTAGCTGCACTCTTTGTTCTTTTTCTTTTTCACTTCAGAGCTGCTGCTCAAAGTAAGTTGAGTAACCATAATGAAGCAATAACGGACTGTGAAAGAGCTATAGCAATAGATCCAAAATATAGCAAAGCATATGGAAGAATGGGGTAAGTAAACCTAATTTGTTTGAACATCAAATTAAAGTGTGTTGTCCTAACACACTTACACATCAGATATCAAACTCTCGCCACACTTACAGTATGCCCCTGGGATAATTTCTGATCTCTTGGCAACTGCCTATCAGATTTATTTTATTCTACCAGTACATCAACACTGCAGACTCTGTCTAAGAGGAGTCAATATGGATGTCACTGAGAATGATACAGCAGCAATAGCAACTATTAATTTCGTTTGGCCTAAAACATTATATGTACAACTACAGTGCTAATTGCAATAAGAAACATATTTGAGTTAGATGGTATTGGTTAAGTTGGACCCTCTGTAAAAGAGACATAAAGCTGGTGAGATGATACCGTTATTGGGCTACCTAGGACTGCAGATGTGCAATTTTGAATTTAGCTGAACCTTTCAACCTTTAGCTGAACAGCCAAAATTACTAGTACAGTACAGGTAACTTGCACCTTACATGGGGGTTATGTTCCTGGCCATTATGCATGCAAGCAAAACCATGCAAAGCCAGAATGACCCCTAGAAAGCATTTACATTTTTCCTAGAACCCTGCCCCCTTTTAATTTTTTTGTCAAGCTTGAAAAGCTGCATGCACACAAGTTAAATGCAAGTAAGCGGCAGGCTTGCTGTAAATTTCTCATACGACTTTACTTTTATTTTATATTTTGAAGAATTTTATCATTTATACAAGACATCTGTTTTTGAAAATTGAAGTTAACTTTTTTTGGGGGGGGAGTGCAAGTAGTTTGTCTTGTCTAGAGCACAGAATAGCCTGGCACTGGCACTGAATGAGGTACTGCCCCACCAACCCCACCCTGCCCCCATCTGTCTGCCTTCTTACTTACAACCAGTCAGAAGGTGGCTCTGCTTGTCACTGGTTCTGGTTTCAGCTACCGTTGGGCTTCCTGCCTTCTGCTCTGCTAGTCTCAATGGACACCAGCCAGTCAGTGTAGGCAACAGTCTAGTTCACTGCTGGGAGTTCCCTAACACCTCAAAGCCAAAACAAACTTATTATGTCTTAAAAGTTTTGTGGACTAGAGTCTACTTCCTTAGAATTTAAGCAGCTTTTACATTTTTTTCATTTAAATCAATGCGAATTAGATCAGAAAATACAAGTACTCTTTCAGATTGGCTTTTTCACATTGGCTTCCTTTGTTCGTATCAGATTGGCTCTGACTTCAATGAACAAATACCAAGAAGCAATTAATAGCTATCGAAAAGCACTGGACCTTGATCCAGAAAATGACTCCTATAAGTCAAATCTGAAAATAGCTGAACAGAAGTTAAGAGACATGTCCAGTCCTGTAAGTTGGCTTTCAAACTATTTATTCAACGATTGTAATGACTCGGTGCTACTTTGTATAGGATTGATGTGTATATTTAATTTTCAGACTGGAACTGGATTAAGTTTTGACATGGCAAGCTTGATAAACAATCCTGCCTTCATTAGCATGGTAAGTTCATTTAAAATTATTTTTTTGTGGTTTCCGTTTCAGGTCCTCCTTCTGTTTCATATCTTATTTTGCTCTCCTGAAGAGCAATTTAGAAACCTCAACTCTTCTTACTCAATGCTGACAAACCCCATGGTAGATTGTCACTGATTCTTTTGTTTTGCTATAATGAATTCTGCTCCCAAGTCTTTGGAATGCATTTCACAATAGTTTTGGGGAGGGTCTTATGGCTGCTTAGAAACCGGACCTACATTGTATATCCTGGTAAAATGAGGTTTTCTATGAGCCTCTCAAAACTGAGACCCCGTAAGGTGTTGGATCCACAGCTGTTTGGAATGGAACTCTGCCAACTGGGGGCTCTCATAGGCAGACGGGAAGGAGGGAGATGCAGTTTTTGCCAGTTGCCCCCTAAATCCCCCCCTATGCTACCTGAAAACCTGCTCCAGAATGTTGGAACATCTTCCAGAAGAGTGTGGGAGGTGGCTCTTAGAGCCGCAGAGGGCAAGGGAAATTGGCAAAAATTGCCTCGCCCCTTTTCCTCTAGCAGGAGCTTCCACTGGATCCAGATCGCTTCTGCAAATTGAGAAAGCTCTTCTGTTTGCAAAACAGCAGGTTTGGATCGAGCCCAAGGAATTTGCTTGCCAGACAGCTTAGGGTTGGTCAAAGGTTTGACCTCTGTTCACAATGCTTGGAATTTCAAGCCGCCTCTTTATTCACTGTGCTATGGGCTAAACACTGGCTGCATTACAACTCAAGGCATTTCATCTTTCATTTCAGGCAGCGAGTTTAATGCAGAATCCTCAAGTTCAGCAACTGTAAGTATGAACTAAGAATGGAGTCTCTGTTGAAAGACATAAGTGAAAAAGTCTTTGGCATACCACAGAGGATATGGGGGTTTTTTTGGGGGGGGGGACTCTGAACTAGCAGTTTTCACCTCATGGGCACACCTGTTCCTTCCCTCCTCCCACCCCCGCAGAAGGCACTTCCTAGGGCTAAAAAGTCATTAATCATTTTTCTTGCTAGTAATAAGCAGCAATTCAGGGATTGCCAAGAGCAAAAATCTGTTAAATATTATGTGTGCTGCAGATAGGTGAAGAAGAGGCTTAAGACCCTAGAATCAAAACTGACACTGGGATCTCAGAGACAACATAATACATGAACAGACCTTGAATAGATTGAAGGAGGCGCAGAAGACCAATACTTTATTAGCAAATCATACTTTTATCAGCAAAATATTTTATTGTTATTCGGAAGAATTCAACAGGAATTTCTCAAGCACAGATCCCCATTGCAATGACTCAGAATTGTGCAAGAGAGCAGCTGTGCCTTCTAAAACTCCCAGTTGCTTTAATTGGAGTTGTGCAAGGGAAAGTTGTGCCAATTGACATCCTTCCCAGAGCAACAGCTACATTTACTTGTTGCTTATTTTCTTTATATAATATGGCAGAGAACACTTGATAAATGTATATATCTCACACACGCACACATACACACACACTCTCTAATGCCTCTAATACATTTCTCCATGTATCTAAAATCTTGTAGGATGTCGGGAATGATGACAAATGCTATAGGGGGCCCTGCGGCAGGTGTCGGCGGCCTCACTGATCTGTCAAGTCTCATACATGCGTAAGTGACGTATATACTGCAATTGCAAGTTAATATTTATGAAAATGATTTATTTATGAGGTTCTTTTCATTCATATGAAATTTTATAGACTGCTTGTCCGTAAGAATGTTCATGCAGTATTATGCATGCAAATACAGTACATAAGAAGTATATTAGGACATGAGTACACTAAAACAGTATCGAACAGCATATAAAATTCCTTCATTATCAACAATGTCAGCCACAGGCAAAACTGGTTGTTCAGTTCAGTTGATGAAAGCCTGGTTAAATAGAAAAGTCTTCATTGGGCGCCTGAAACTGAAAATAGAACGTTTCCCTTTAATGGTTAGTGGTACAGAATTTTGCAAAGCTGGTGTAACCACTCTGAAGGCCCTGTTACTGGTAGTTTAATACCTAACACATGACACCATTAGCAAGGCCTCATCCACTGAATGTAAAGGTTGGGCAGGGCTTAGGGACCAATGGAATATTGAAAATAGTCTATTTTAAAGTTGTTTTAAAGGGGGCTGACTTAGTAGTTCTTGTTTTCTGTTGCCGTCGCTGGTTACAACTTCACATCTATGTTCTGATCCTTTGAGCATTGGGTCTGTGCTTTCCCTGTCTTTTCAGCAAAATGAAGAGCAGCTTTCTAAATTTCATGTTTTTCTCAGCTTAGGGCAAATGGGCTGTCTGATTAGTACTTTCTTTCAGAGTTAATTTGAGCTTTGGCTCCTGTGCTTTGAGTACAGCACAACAGTGGCTTCCCCTTGTTTACTGATCTTTGTAAAATAAAAACAAAAATTTCTGTACAGAGGGCAGCAGTTTGCACAGCAGATACAGCAGCAAAACCCGGAACTCATAGAGCAGTTGCGGAACCACGTTCGAAGCAGATCTTTCAGCGGCAGCACTGAAGAGCATTCCTGATTAAAAGCAGCATGTGATAGAACACTGTTTTACTAATTCCAAAAGGCATACTGTAGCTAGTAGCAAATATCACCATTGTAATTCTTCTCAGACATGAGACTGGAAATCCTTTGTGTGTATTCCTTATCGTCTGTTGAAAACAGATTCATTGCACACAGATGTGAACATATCATGTATGTATATTGATGCCTTTGTAAATGGACTATAAATAAAACTGGTGACAGATTAAAATCTTTACATATAAGGCAGCATTTTCGTATCAATGCACAAAAGCATGCAATTTTTCGTTCTCTTTTAAGAGAGTGGATTTTTTGCACTAGGATTGTGCGTTGAAAGAGATCACCCACTTGTGGTGACATAATATTACTTGTGGAGTAATAATGCTTGATAGGCTAGTCAGTCCTATGTAAAATCTGTATTCAAAATATATTAAATAAGGCAGCCTTTCCTCAAAACTGAAGGGTTGCTGCCGCCCCAGAGACAAGGCTGTGGCAAGCGAAAACAATTTTGCATGACTAATGTTGCATTTCTTACTTTATAAGCTTATAAAGTGAAGACTGCTTTTTTTCCACATTGTGGGTCATTACTAGGGTTTTTGAAAGGAAGGAGAGCAATAGGTCTGATTGTTGGAGTTGCTTCAGGCTAAGATGTTGTGGTGGAAGAGGGAAAGAGGGTGAGTAAACCCTAAGCTGGGGGAGAAATAAATGGGTCTGTCTTGTAGGAGTTGGACCAGAAAGATTTAAGCTGTGCAGAATTTACGGGTCTATGCATAGGTACAGGCAAAGAGGGTACAGCATGTAGGCTGACAAGCAGGGAGTACCTACTAAGTTTTCAAAGGGAGTGCTACTGTGAAATAATTGGAAACATTTCTTATAGGGCAGCTTGGGCTAGATGTAAAAGGGGACGCTTGGCCTCCTTCTTTGCTATACTTGTCTTAATAGGCAGGACTTGCACAGCAGCAGTTCTGCATTGCAATGAATGTATTGAGAGGAGCAAGGAGAAGGAAATTATGAAAGCCATATTTAAAACTTGTGATTGAGCAATAGGTGATTCTCAGTCTCCTTATCAGTTTGTAATGGATGGATAGCGGGGAGAATTATAGAAGCCCTAGCCAGAAAAGGTGCAGCAAGGGGTGTTGAGGAAAAAGCAGCGTAGAATCAGAACAAAAGATGGGGATGAAAGTTTCCCCAGTAATATGCAGAAATAGTCTCTCTGGCGTACACAGAACCCAAGATTTTACCCTGGAGATAGCTCTGAAAATTTTGATGGAATGACACCATGTTTTTATAAAGAGATGAGTTATATGCTCATACTATCTATTCAATGTAGTTGTCATGTGCCTGTTTACGTAATCTGTGGTTTATGTAACCACGTATTGGTTGCACATTAGAAACTGTCTTAAGGGAAATCTGACAGCAGAAAGTTAATACAGTATGTATATTGTAGATTATCTGAAGTCAGCTTTTTGTTATCCCCTTTTAGTTCTGCCTTTGTTCTGAATTTTTATTTGTTGCTGTTGTCTTTATGCCTCTTCCTTCCTGTACGCACCTCCTGTCACTATATTTTTTATACTGTAATTCCAACCAAACATACTTATGCATTTCTGCATAAAGTCTATAACGAGAGAGACTTTCAGGCTAACAATATATTGCCACATTCAGGAAGTAGTTCATTGGAGGATATTCAGAATTCTGAGTGGGTGGGAGAGCACCAAGAGTGTTACAGTGCTGTTAACATTTGACTTTTTCCTCAGCTACTCGCTCTACAAAGCAGCAGTTTTTGACCTTTGTTTTTCAATATACTTGGTCCCCATTGACCTGTCCTTTTCCGAGTTCTCAAGTACCTTGGGTGTCTAGTTATTGGCATTAGGACAGTGCTTCAAACATGTTTTCATTCAGAAGTAGGAGTCGCTGCTGAGCAAGTGTAATTAGAATACTGAAAATATGGAATATAAAGCTTGCAGTATAAAGGTACAACGCAAACTACTCATTAAATTGCTTTTGAGTAATTAACATTTAAATTAATTAGAAATGGCAGTAGCTATACACTGGTGTCCTGAATTCACTGGGTAGAAATAGTCCAGTGCTGATTTAACCAGTCATGATAGTGTTTTCAAAAAGTATGATCAGAGATGCAATCTCCTTCATGGCTACCACCCCATATTTAAGTTGCTGATTAGCACCCGGTTCAGATGTTCAGTGAACTAACCAGATAAGATATGTTTGAAACAGCAGAAAGTGTTGCATTTATGGCAAACAACTAGCCTTTTCACACTGTTAGATCAGGCAGACTGTTTTCCAAATAAAAATGCACATTCCAAATAACAGTTTAGGTAGCAGCTATTCACACTCGAATCTGTTCTTCAGTTTTCCATAGATGACTCATGGATCAGTCTTGTGTTGTTTGGAATAAGTTTAATAAAAGAACACTTAAAATAAAGAATAGTTTACTGTTTTCCAATATTGTCTGTATAGTTTTTACTTCCCATTTCTTGTTTCATGAAGAAATTGACTTTATTGTACAAATTGGTTTTAAACTAGGACTGTTTCTAGGGGTTTCTGTCTGCTAATAAAACTAGTTTTCCCTATCTGCAGCATTAAGGAAGAAACAGCCTTGCTGTTGAATCCTGCACCTATAGTTTCCTTTTAAGTGTGTTAAGGGCTGATTTAATACAATAAATCCTCACTGTGTATCATTCAAAGACTTATGTTGGCATTCTGGTCAGTTAGCCATATGGAATGGAAACTAAAATATTGCTTCACTGCTAGCAGTGATACTTGTGGGAGACATCTATATGGAGGGATATGCCAGCAACTACCACTGCAGTGTCTTGCTAGATGCTTGGGTTGCTGGTCTGGTTTTTACTGAAATAATTCAAAACAGGAGAAACTCTTGACTAATTGATTTGTGCATTTCCTTTTGCACTCATAGTCTTTATGGACCCAGAGTCTGGTTGCAGCAGTGTAAAAATACAATATTAAAAGCAGTTAAAACTATTTACAATCAAAAGAATCGGGCAGATGTCAAAGGCCGGGTAAAGAGGTACCTTTTCAGCATGTGATGAACACTATACAATGAAGGTATCAGCCGTACTCATTCCAATTTCTGTCTGAATCCGAGCTATTTCATCCCTACAGTGCCTTGCAAAGTAGTTGCAGCAACCTTCAAACTGTACACAGCCTCCAAAGTTCAAAGACAGCGTGCTTCTAAGTACTAGTTGCTGGGGAGCAAGAGCTCCAGAGAACTCTTGCCTCCAAGTGCCACTAGCACACTTTCCAGAGACATCTGGTTGTTTACTGTGAATAGAATGCTGGATTAAATCAGGGATGGGGAACATGGGACCTGCTATATGTTGTTGGTCTATATGTTGTTGGTCAGCCCAGCTAGCATAGCTGTTGGTTGGTGATGATGGGAGTTGTAGTCCAGCAACAGGGTTCCCCATCCCTTGGCCAGATGGGTGTTCGGTTTGAATGGCTCTTATGGTCCAAATGGCACTTCACTGACTCTGTACTCAGATCACCCTGGTTCCCCACACCTCTTTATTACATGGTGAATTAAATCCCTAATATATGACCACCAAAAGCATTTGTAAAATATGCTGTATTTCTAGATGTAGAGAATCCTGTTTTAACGTAGGGTGCGAAATTGGGAACTGCTACTGCTTTTCCTATGAACATCAGCGTGCATGAAATAGTTTGCACCCTTCCTCAATACAGATTAAGAGTCATTTATCCAGATACTACATGCCATGTTGCAAGTATCATTAAATGAGTTAAACAAGTAATAATTAGGGCAGCTGCATAATTGGACTAAGGGCTTTATTTCCAAATAGTTTAAAATACATATGGTTGGCTCTTCACAAATAAACTGTTTTTTAAAAACATTCCAAGGATGCCAGATTGAATTCCAAAGGGGCAGTTAAATAAAGAAATTCTTTTTTGGATTGCAGATATTGCCAGAGGGTTGGGTCCAAAAACCAAAATAGGAAATATTAAAACAAAAAGGGTTCACTTTCAGTTTTCTTTTATTTTGGAAGAAACTACACAGACTTGTGCAATATCATCATACTCGTACGTTCTCTTCAGAAAGGTGTCTGTTAATCTCAAGCCAGAGACAGTCTAAAATGAAAGGGGGAGAAAAAAGGATTGACAATGTGAAACGTAACAGGCTTCTGAACTGGTCGTAAGAGCCCTATAACTCAACAGTATCACCTTATATGGGTTATAAGGACCCCATGCCGCCATTCTTGGAAAGAAATTCCAGGGCAATTGGATTTTTCAGTTTCTCTCCATGGGTGGAGAAGGGGGTCTGCCCTTGAAAGGACAAGGGACAGAGGAAAGGAAAACACCCCCCAGCCTTTTGCCCTACAGACACAAGCCCAACAGCTACTCCCTCCAACCCCACATAGGATTGCAATGCCCAAGCGGGAGATCTTACCTGTAGTCCCTGCACAGATGAAAGCAGTGTAAGTGTCAAGTGTAGGGATGAAGTTGGGTGCAGTTTGCCCAGCTGCCTTCCTGACACCCCACACCAGTGAATGGAATTAGTGTTGCACATTTCCAAAACCAGATCCATGGTTCTTTCACTGCTGGATGGAAAAGAATAATAAATTAACATAGATCTCAATTTGTCTAAGGGCCAGTTCACACCAGTTCATGTGTTTTTCTTTTTCTTTGCTGCCTTCTTTCTATGGTTAGAAAGAAAAGGTTTCAGGGTGATGCATACGGTGGTTAAATCATTTAATGCTTCCAACAAACCTGTGGCTTAGTAATTGCCCAACAGGAGCCAGCATGATAATTAAAACATGTATTTCTTTTAAATTCTGATTATTAAAATGGTTTAAAAATGAAGTCCTTATGTAATACAAATGCACACATCTTTTTCAGCACATTGGACCAACTAGGTCACTGCCTCTCTCTCCTCTCCATCAATAAAAACCACAAATATTTTTGGAATTCTAAAATCTACTTTGTCCACTGTATCTCAGCAAGTGAGGGGCAAAATTATATATATCTAGGAATGTTCATTTAAAAAACAAACCATTTCCATCACCTTAAAAATAATTATATATTCCTGCAGTAAGGAAAACCTTGAATGCAAACAGTATTTTAATACATCTAAAACATTGGGTGAATTATCTCTACAAAACCTACCCCTTTGACTGGAAACGGTAAGCAGTTCAAACTACAATTCTTAAAAAATAGAGATGGCAGGAGGGGAAGTAATTTCATTACCTGCAGTTTGTTATTTTACATGTAATATCAAACGGTTCTTCCAGGTTTACAGTGTCCGGAATTGTCTCCAACGAAACCCTGACATCACCATAACCTGGAGCCTAAGAAAGCATTAAAAGTTTAGCAAGGTACACCCACACCGAAAGAGAGAGAGAGAGAGAGAGAGAGGGAGGGAGGGAGGGGTGGGGATACGAGACAAGCAGTAGTACTAGAGTAGAAATGGCCATCCCTTCCGATGGATTCCACTTTCTACCATCCTCAGCTATGGGCTATTGTGGCTAGGACTGATGGAAGTTACAATTCACAGCAACATCTGAAAGGCACTACAAGTGAATCGTAGGATGACATTCTGGAGAAGTATATGTAACATTACAATTTTCATGTTTATGCTGATGTACTTGGGAGTCCTCATATGGGTTTTTATGAACAGGAGCAACCTCAAACATCTTCAGAAAGAAAACATAAAAACTGAGATTTACAGTACAATTCTGGATATAAGTAAATTTTAAGATACAATTCTGCATTTAAGTAAGTTTTACCCACTGAGATTAAAGAACATGATTTAGGTGCATTAATTTCAATAGGTCTACTCTTGAGTAAAACCTCTACAGCCTTTTCTCCTTATGAGTGCACAAGCCACTGCTTTCAAGTAGTGTTGTATTTAACTATATGTTGATATTTAATTAAACAGGTTTTAGACCACTTTTTAGGCAAAGTTGCTTGGCAAAGCAGTTTACAACCACAGACAAATATTAATCCACAACATTCAGTAGTAAAACAAGTTATGGCAGTCTCATCCCAGGAACATACAAGCCAGCGTAACAACAAAATACGGTAAGCCATCTAGTTCTCAAAGAGCAGCGTGAAACAGGGAGCTGCCTTGAAATGAGTCAGGACACTGGTCAATCTAGTGCAGTCTTGTCAACACCGACCAAAAGCAGATTTCAGATGGGACGTTCACAGCTGTGCCTGTTGATGCCTGGGACCTTCTGCATGCAAAGCAGATGCTCTATCACTGAGCTATGGTCATTCCCCAAATAATTAGCATTGGCCCCAAAGACCCTGATGAAAAAAACTGATGTAAACAAGGCATGTTTAAGCAAGGGAGGAAATATACCTGATCTCACTTGGAATCAAATTCCGTATTTGGGGTGGGGACCGCTGAAAAGAATCTGTTCTATGTTCCAGCAAAAGTGCTGTATATATATTTCTGGTCTTATAAACTGTAATATTAATGAGAACTTGAGAAGAATCCCGATGGATCACATCAAGGTCTATTTACTCCAATATTGTTTTTTCAATTTCTAAATTTTCCTCCCAGCACCTGATATTCAGAGGTAAGCTGTATCTGCACAGGCTCTTCACTATTTCCCTTCTGTCTTTAAAGAGAGTCTTCTGAAAAATACTTACCATTCGTTGGAGCTGACTGGTTTGCAACCTTCCCCTTTCGCCCAAGTTTGTCTTCCATACTATATCAAGCTTTCCAATGACTGTCACACCTTTAATAACGCCAGCTTTCTCTGCAAACTCTTGCTTTGGTTTAAGACAGTAAAGATACTGTCGAGTATCCATAGGCTGCAGATACGTTCTTGAACCAAATGTTGACACACTGGAAGAGAAGGGGCAGGTTTACCTTAGCTTGTACCTCAAAATTGGACTTTTCGACAAAAATCCAGTGAATTGGCTATCAGATTCAATTTTGGGTTGCCTTTTCAGTTAAGAAAGAAAGTAGCCTGCTTCCAGAAGTTTTAAGGAAATCAGGCTTAGCAGAGAAAAAAAAATAAAAGACAAGCAAGATAGCAAGATGTTTCTGCGAAAGTTTGGAAGGGAGGAATATAGAAATGGGGGGGGGGGCTCAAACTGGCTAGACCACCTATTTGCTATGCTACACTGGACTATATTCTACAGTAATCTTTCGATACAAATGGTGGTGATAGTTAAGAGAGTTCATAGAAAATGAATTGAGGTATATGCCAATGTTTTAAATTAAAAGCAAAAGTAGCAAGATCATCAAGATACCACAGTAAGCAGTATGACACAAAATTATACAGTCGTTCGAGTCACAAGGCGTTCAAGAACCAAGGTACGACTGTACTCTGGGCCCATAATACAAGGAACCACAGCAAAGAGCGTCCATTTGCAAGAACAGCTTCATCAGCGCACGTATAGCTTCAGTTATTGATACATGAAGATACAAGCACCATGACGCGTGACTGTAGCCAGTACAGTATGAAGAAGCAAATAAGGCCCTTACCTGTCCTCACCTTGGTTGACTGCATTTAATTCTGCTACGTTGTACATAATAGAAGGTTCCAGTGACACCTTCTCCATGAACATTGGAGAGGTTGTGATATTCTGAATCTGAGCTTCCAAAAATACTTCATCAGTCTAAAAGAGCAGAGAAAATGCCTAAATAAAAAAATAATCTCAACTGACAAAATGCTCCAGCATCTCAAGTGTTTGAAAAACATTAAACCACAAACGCAGTTAGTTCATGCCTGAAAATCAAAAGTAACAGTCATTAAATGCGAGAAAAGTCTTTATCCCAACAGAGAGCAGTAGAAGCAAAAATGTTAGTCAACTGGAATAGTGCTGAACAATGGATTTGGGAAAACTTTGTCGTATTTTCCTATTCTAAGGTAGTGTCTATATGGCCTAAATGGGACTTGCAAGCTGAGCTCCAACGGTCCACTTCAATTCAGATTTTCTTTTAAAAGGAAAGAAATAACACTTTATAAATGTAAAATGAGTGCAATGCACAACAGACACATGCCATGCCAGATTAATGATGCACCAGGCTGCATACAAAGAAAATATTGTTAATAGGTGTTTTTTTAAGTGTATGAACTGTTACAGGGGTTTAGAGGCATGCTACACAAACTGTTCACATTGACCTAAGAACTGTTCTAGTCTCTGCTATAAACTTTCATAATGGCACAGAGCTTAATATTCTACTACCCCAACAACCTTATTTCTGGTTCTAAGACACCTAGTGTCTTTCCCATCTCAATAATTAAAGAACTTGATGCAATTATCAACTGCATGTCCCTTAACCGGGGACATGGTACAAACGTGATCTGCTTAAATGTCTCTGCAAGATCTCAGTCCTGCAAAGCAGTGTGACGTTTCTGGCAGTTCAAAGCTGCAATCAAAACCTGCTGACAATCAAAGGGATGCCTGCAGGGGAGGAACGATGGGAGCCACTCGATCAAAGGCTCCAACAACACATCTGATTACAGGCATGTGGAGGCTCTGTGTAAAATGGAAAATCCCATCAAGAAAAAGGGGCATACTTGGTTTTTGTAACTGAAAACAGGATAGCCCCATGCCTATTTTCCACCGTTTATCAAAAATTGAGTTGGAACTGGATTTTGAATGGTGGTGGCAAACTGTAAAACAATTCCAGCCTCTCACATTTGATGTTATTTGGAGGGCCATCAAAAGACAATGGGTGGGTCAGACATTAGCTTAGTTTTACAAGGTGGAGAAAGCCTCAGCCTCACATACTACTCCTTCCCTCTCCAGCAGCTTTCATTTCTGTTTTTGCAAACCTGGACCAATGGTCGTTGATTCTAACTAGTTAGTGAAAGCAAGCCACAATTTGGGAAGCTGGCTCATTTCAAACCACTGTAAGATTAGCCACAGTTTAGAATATTGTCTGATTCTTAAACAGTGGTTAATCTAAAACAGAATACTCCCTTTCAGGCTCTTTGCTGGGAGATCAGCAAACTTTTAGGTAAATTACCTATTAGACAAAATTCCTGGAGTCTCTTTGGCAGCGGAAAAATTCCTGTCAGTGGCTGAGAAGACCAGAAAGCAACAGGTGAATAAAGGTTTGATCTGTATTGTCCTAGAAATTGTCTTTCTAGGGTTATCATGTTATGCTGATGTCACCTAACACTATTAGATCTGTACTTTTGGTTAATTTTGGCCTATTATCTGTATTTTAAAAAAGGTAGTGCATGTTGTAAAATAGAAGCAGCAGCTTCTGGTCTTCTTAGATTAGAGGGAGGGGAGTATTATGTATTCAAGCAAAACACCAATGACAAATAAAATTCAGTTATCTTGCTTTTAATTTTTTTAAAAAACCTTAAGTACTGGTACTATCGTGTCTTCTAGCACTAGGGATTTAATATTTTTCTACTCTTCTGAAAGAATATCCCATAAATCCATTGCTTACATCTTGTGTTTTCCAAATTTCCCATCAGTGTCTTTTAAAACAGCAACCACCAGAAATTTAGCAAGAGCCAAGTTGAGGGAAGAAAACAAAACCAAGCAGCATAATGAAAAAGCAAGGTAGCTTACAATGACGCAGGGGTTGATTAGTCTTACTCTCATGATTAGTCTCAATAGCATGATTCGATCAGAGCGCTTCACAGCAAATTTCCTGGATTATTATAGCACACACATTAAGATTTGAACTGCAATTACGCCGTTAGAATCATTGCCACATGCATTCATAAATTTGAAGAGAGTTTTAATAAACATATAAAGAAAGATGTGAAATATCTTGTCTCTCTCCTCCCATCCAGTGTCTTCACAAAAACAGCAGATAACAGAAATGTTGCCATGATTTAATATGAAACAAGCCTACATGCAAGGCTCTGTGTACTTTTATACCACCAAACACAAGAAACACTATCAGGTAAAGACCACTATTCCAAATAGTGAAAAATATATAAATTACGTAAGGAAATTTGCACAACACATTGGAAGGAAAATAGGCACTAGCAGAATTTTGCGAAGTGCTATACTAGTCAATTAAATGATTTTTTAAAAAATTGCCTTTGAGGGCCAAACCCTCAAGAATGGTCTTTCCACGTATAAACCTACTTGGGACTCTTAAGATAACCCAAGGTCCTTCTCTGTGTGCTCCCATTTAAGAGATGCTAAGATGGTAGCAATGAGATAACAGGTCTTTCCAATGGCAGCCACCAGCTTGTGCAACACTCTCCCCAAGGAAGCTTGCATTTGATCTAGTAGGCTCTTCACACGTCATTGGAGGAGAGAAGATATTCTTGTTTGCAATAGACTATTGGTGGATGTACATGGTTAGCATGCAGTGTTGCCTTAATGGATACATTTGCTATGTATTTTATTTTGCTTTGGCTATAAGTAAACTTGAGACTTCCTTAGATGTGGAAGTGATGAACAAATCTAATACTAGGCTTGTGTAAGAGATTTTATAGCCACTGAATTTCATTTCACTTGTTCACATGACATTCTAGCCTGTACTGTAAAAGCCCTTCTGGGAATGAAAAATCTTTCTGCATGCAGAAGGATAGATTGGCCTCCAACCCAATACCTTCAATTTAATGCAATTTCTTATACAACTTTAATTTTCTTTTTGCATAACTCATTCTGGCTTTGTGAATCATCAGACAGGCCCAGAACTATTCCAGACCATGACACCCCACTCTAGTCACTCATGACAAATCACACTTTCAGCATCAGAGACAACAGACCTCCGAATATGAGTTGCTGAGGTTCACAGCTGGGAAAGTACTATCATGTTCATGTCCTACTTGGGGGCTTTTCATAGGCATCTGGCTGGGCACTGTGAGAACAGAATGCTGAACTTTGGTCTGGTCCAGCAGAGCTGTTCTTATGTAAATAAATAAAACAAATGTTTCATAAGATTTGCAGAAAACTGAATTTTTGCCCAATGAAACATGTTGTGCTCCCAACAGAAACTGCAACAAAAATAGCCCAGCCCATGTGCTTTTGTAGCCTCAACAGTACGCCTCTAGGAATATCATTGTTGCTCTGTGGTCAACAATTAATTTCCTAGTCACAGTAGTTTACTGAAATATTTATTCAGTACAGAAGTCTGAACTGCAAAATACTGTTAAACAATGGATGCAAGGAGAGAGCTAGTATGGGGAGAAAGGGGAAACAAGCCAATATCTATGTGTACAAACATTGCTTTTCCATTATGTTTTCCAAATAATGTTAGTAACAGGCAGAAAGACAAACAGAAGACAAGCATACATATTTATAAATAATAAATAAAATTACCACAGAACTGAGGTCACTCTAATGGGAAAATAAAAAAGAAAACATTAGAGAAATTAGGGTTAAATGTTAAAGAAAAAAAGGAGGACAACTAAGTTTCAAATAAAATGCACCTTTCTGCATTTTTTTTGGTACTTTCTAAACAAGACAGCATTAGTAAGAGAGAAATGTAAACTGGCAATAAAAATGAAAGGCTCACTACTAAGAAATCTTATTTCGAAATAAGACCATGTCAGCATATGGTATAATGAAGAAATAAATTATGTGAAATGGCAAACACAGGGAGTGCACAATGAACACAATGGTAAACCAGTACATGCTCACAGAAGAAGTCCATTACTTGGCTGAATACTTCCATATGGGGGAAAACTGAGGACCCGTTAATCTTACAAATACTCTATTAATGCACAATGTCTTAAATATGGGAAGGAAAGCTGTTTACTGATGACTCTTGGGTTTTAAATTGAGCCAGTCTGCATATTAACTGCATGTATTTATACATCATCCTATAACAAAAGCTCCCATTGTAATTAATAAGCTACAAGAAAATTGAAAGCACCATTGGAAAAGGACAAGTGCTAAATGCACCTCCCAATGAATTGCCTTTCTTCAAAAGCTTAATTCGGTACCATAACAACCTTTACATTTTTCAATCCCCCCACCCCCTTTATACTAGGTATCTTTAAATATTGTTTGGCCAACAACTCAGGGAATTACCAATCCCATCACGGGCACAAGTGCACTTGAAGAGCATCTCTGTCAGAGGCACTGTGCCTTTAAGACCCAAAGGTCTTTCTATAATTCATCAAGTTGCACCTATCTCAGGATGGAGATGCAGTGATGGGGAAATCCGCACCCGCTGCATTACTGTCACACAGACCTGACAAGTAATTCTACTCTGGCATATCACCTAGTATTAGTTTACTTAACATCAATAATGTCCGTTTTTAAATAAGGTAGCTGCCTTTTTGACTAAATCTGAACCACAAGTTTATCCAGTTGATAATGAAACAAATGTTTTTAAAATGGATTATAACTAAATATACAGCCACATTTTCCCCAAATGGTGATGGCAATGACAAATGGATAGATTAAAGTGAGGAGGAGAGCAAGGTTTAGATTTGTACTCACCTGTTTTCCTCACCCTCGGCCAGGAAAGAGGGCAAGATCATTATATTTTTCCAAAGATGTAATAGCTAGGCAGCCATTTTCTATAGCTGGCATACAGAAATTTTATGCCAGAATCACAGAACTGTAGAGTTGGACAGAAAACTGAGGGTTACCCAGTTCAACTCCCTGCAATGCAGGAACCTCAACTAAAGCATCCCTGACAGAGAGCCGTCCAAGCTCTGCTTTAAAACCTCCAAGGAAGGAGAGTCCACCACTTTCTGATGGACTCTGTTCCACTGTTAGCATGCCCTTTGGGGTATTTTGTAGTTTCTTAGTAGCTTTTAACATACAACTTGGTTTATTATTTTAAAAAAAATAAAATACTGTAAGTACAGTTAAACAAATTCACTCCTTCACCTAGTTTTCAAACAATCCTTTCAGCTCTATTTTCCTAAGTTTATCTCCTCAGATTTTTGTCTTTTTCTATTTTGTGGCTATTCCAGCTAATAAAAAGTGTGTAAGGTCAAACTGCCAACACCTGTCAATTCTAAAAGACAAAAGATTAATATTATGTAGAAAGGAATAATTTAAAAATGCTTTGCCAGGTGAGAAAGTTCTGTTTATTTGTCTGGGTTTAACAGAACAGATAATGAAATGGGCCTATTATATCTCAAATGGGAGATCTAGATCTATAATCCTGAAAAAGAACCACCATTTTAATTCCCAATATAACAAGTTTTCACTAAGAGCCTGTTCAGAATTTTGGACACCAAGCACTAAATACAATATTCTGCATTTACCTCAGCATTGTAGAACTTTGTTTTCACATCTAGCGGTTTGAGGACCTGTTTGAAAAAAGAATAAATACTAAAGGGAGATTTATCAAACTCCTTCATCAACACTAAGTACTACCTGTTTCTGAGTAATTCAAAAGTAAAGTTATTAACTTGCATCCATATAAGCAAACCCCAAAGTTTACTTCAGTGGAAGAACCCAGCTTACACATCCCACTTTTTCTTTCCTATGTCTACAGACGCTTCCTCATTTTGATCAGGTAAAAGGATTTTACAGTAGCATGGCAAAAAACCTCTCCCACAAAAGTTATTTTTATACCAGAGTGTCATATCGGTCACGATCATAGTCTTTAATATAATGATGCATTTCAAAATTAGCAGTTTTAATTTCCACAAGCTTTAATTAAGAAATGCTGCTTTTTCCCAGCTTCTGCTGTTGGAAGGAAGTCAGCCAGTGGCAAATCAGCTGCAAGCAATTACACTATCAATTGCTGGCTAAGCTTTCTAATTAAAGGAGCAAAGCATATCAATTATCAGGTTTTATATACGTGACAAATAAATAAAATCTTTTCATTTGCATATCAGCGATTCTGACCCTGAAATCAAGACAGACTGCAAATAGACTTAAATTATTCTTATTAAATAATTGGTTTGCATGCCACTTTAATGCAAGAGTTTCACCTTTAAATCATAGTGAAGTATATGGAAATACTTGTGCATGTTACTAAAAACAGAGGTGCTTTGCTCCTTCCCTGCTCCTCCCGGAAACAAGAGAGCAAGAGACGAGAGGAGCACCTGCAGTTTCAGAAGCAAGCACTCTGCACCTTCACCTCCGGAACCATGCTGAAATTTAGCTATGTTTTCAACAAGGGTCACCTGTGGAGTAGCTACTGTTTAACTCTACGTTTGCTACCTGCCATATCTTCATGACTTTATGATTGGGCAACTATACCTTTGACAGATGTGGAAAAGGCAGAAATTCAGCAGATGCCACTACCTTCATCTCTGCAAGTTCATGCTAGGAAAACTTCATGTCTTCATTTTTTGCACATTATGTAGCTGTTAAAAGGCACAGGAACCCCATATCCTTATGATACCTGATTCCTCTATGTACAGACACCTCACTCCTCAGAAGGTATTTTCTGTAATGCTGTTCTGGGGTTTCTACCCTAAAAGCCAAACTTCCAAATCAAAACACTTCACTTGGTTATTTTTAAAGTTACCAGGAGAGGACCCAGATAAGGTTCCCCACTTCTAAACTCCGTGAGGTATTGGCATCCCTGGTTTCTGCAACTTTACCCATATCTACCTACTTACCTACCATCATCCATTCATTCATTCATTCTGGATTAATTCCAATCTGTCTCTGACTTGGCTTACAGACAACTTGGTAGATGACCTATGATAAGGACTGGACTGACAGAGTATAGTGGACTGAGAGAGTATAGAATCAGTGGCTACTGATTCTATTGACTTTCTGGGGTTCAACCTGGGAGACATGGTGCTACGATAGCTCTGGTCATTTCTAGAGGGATGGACCTAGAAGGTGCTCCTGGGGGGACTTCTGATTCACATTACGGTACTAGCCTCTCTTGGACATCACTTTGACGCTGATGCGAACTTGTACCGACAAACCCAACATTAAAAGAAACCTTAACAACAACTGCACCACCACCACCACCAAATTTGCCCCAGATAAATTCTGGAGAAAGCTGCAAGCACGGGCAGCATAGAAGAGACAGAGAGATAGAAAAGGGTTAGATATCTTCAATCACAGTCAACACTGCCAGCTATGTCAGCTTAATACCTGAAATTTGAAGAACTTTCTGAAGTACATCTTCTCACCTGTCTGTGTGGTGTAGCTTACTGCACACACTAAGCTGAAAGAGACAAATGATTCAGTGGGGTTTAACTAGTTTTCAGTCTTGCTTGTGTTTCCAGGTTGGGAGGAGAATGGGGAAATGGAGCAAATGATGCAAATTTGCAATTCATCTCCTTCAGAATTCTGAACACATTTGGCAATTTATTTATTTTTTACAGAATGGGAAAAACTAAATTAAGTTTACAAATGGTTTGAGACTACCAGAAGCATTTCTCCTAATGCAAGGTACCATTCCCCACGGGATCAACTGCAGCTCTCTGTGCCATATCCTATACTGTTCCAGGAGTTCCCCATATCTTTCGAAAGGCTTTTTTTGGAGTGAGGGAGACACATTGGGAAGGAGGGATTGGCAACAAGCAGGTGTCCTGCCTTTGGCAAGCTACCGTTAGATACAACCCTATGAATGGGGTGGGGGGGAGTATAATGTGTCTTACATGTGCGTTCCTATTTCCTTTACTTCATGGTGTATTACATCATCGATACAACAGTCTTGTTTGAGTTCTGCCACTGCAGCACTAGAGGCTGAAAGGTTTAAACGCTGCGAACTTGTCTGTAGATCAGCCTTGGAATTGAGAACAAAAAAACTCTTCAATAAAAGAGAGGTTGAATTGTATTATTGAAAATGGTTTTTCATTGCTTTAACTGATTTTACATTCCGTCTTCCCCAAGGCATTCATTAAAAATCTGGGCACTGTCCACTGGGAAGATGTGATGCTCAAGCATCCCGAAAGCTTAACATGCAATTGTAATGTTCTCTTGCACGATTGTGGTTGTACAGTAGAACTTTCCATTGGAATATACTTGGAACGGGTAAGAAAAGTGCAGAACAAACCTACTTTCACTGCCTCAAAAAGAAGCAAAAAGAATATGCCTTTACAATTTACCCTGTTACCTTTAGACACCCCCCCCCATTGTTTTTGTTCAAAGTTTCCTTCAACTAGAAAAACGTTAACTGATTAATTACCTTAACAACACACTTAAAACTACTTGATAAGAACAAACATACCTTTACCAAAATATCTTTTACCACTTGGTGACTGTCATTATGTACACTGATGTAGCTGGAAAATGTCTCTCCTAAGAATATATTTCTGTTCAAGAAGGGAGGAGAAAAGAGAACTCTTAAAACCATTGCTTTGAATAAATCTCTAAAATCTATTATTGCCCACTTTTAACAACTGCATGGACTTCTGTTATTGTACCATGAAAGCCATACTTATAGTGTTCCATTTTTGCATCTTCTAGCATTGATGATATTGCATGCACAAGGCTCAAAACCTCTGAAGACAATCTTATGGTTTCAGTACAGTGGTACCTCAAGTTACAGACGCTTCAGGTTACATACGCTTCAGGTTACAGACTCCGCTAACCCAGAATAGTGCTTCAGGTTAAGAACTTTGCTTCAGGATGAGAACAGAAATTGTGCTCTGGCGGCGAGGCGGCAGCAGGAGGCCCCATTAGCTAAAGTGGTGCTTCAGGTTAAGAACAGTTTCAGGTTAAGTACGGACCTCCGGAATGAATTAAGTACTTAACCCGAGGTACCACTGTACTTAATATAGTGCCTAAGCACAGCAGAGTGTTGACAAGAACAAACAAAATTAAAATAAGTAAGCTAGTCTGAGCTAGCTAAGGCACACAGCATGGATGTGTATATGAGTATGTTGTGCAGATTTTAAAAGGGAATTAGGCAGATTCATGTGTGGAAGATAAGGATAACATGATGGCTATATGAGACCTCCAGGTTCATAGGCAACGCCACTGCCTGGGGAATCAAGAGTGGGAAAGAATTATTGTCCTTACATTCTGCTTGCAGGCTTTCCATAGCTATCTGATCGGTCACTGTGGGAAAGAGGATGGTGGACTAGATAGGTTTAGTCAAAAGCAGAAGGAATGTTCTTATATTCAAAACCATGGTCTGGTAGTTGCTAGCTTTACTTTTAACTCACCACCTCTGTTTAACAGTAAAGATCTCTTCATGCTTCATCCAATGACTGTTTACTCAGAGGTACCACTGATTCAAAGTTAGAAACCATAATAGATGGCTTCCTAACCCTGTAACGCAAGAGGCCCTTGGAAACGGTTTGTGGCAGGGGGAAATTAAGAATAATAATAGACATTATCCATAGGAAGGACAAGGAAGATAGGCTTAGGCCACAGTCCTAAGAGCAGGGGTCAGCAAGCTATTTCAGCCGTGGGCTGGTCCACCATCCCTCAGAACATGTGGTGGGCCGGATTATATTTGGGGAGGGGGAATGAACAAATTCCTATGCCTCACAAATAACCCAGAGATGCATTTTAAATAAAAACACACATTCTACTCATGTAAAAACACACTGATTCCCAGACCATCCAGAGGCCAGATTGAGAAGGCGATTGGGCTGCATCTGGCCCACGGACCTTAGATTGCCTACCCCTGCCTAAGAGCATTCTAAGTTGGAAGCAAGTACAACTGAAACCGCTGGTATTTACAATATTAGGACAGTTCTGCACAGGACTAGAGATCATAAAACAATTATCTCAACAAATCTACACATCTATATACAATTCTTACCCAAAATTCTGAGGCAAAGTCAACATTTCCCCAAGCATTAATGTTTCTGCTCCTTTTACTGTGGAAGGATCATCTTTCATTAACTGGTTAAACAGATCTCCTGCAGTAATATAAAATTATATGTCAGGTCAACTATCTTGATATTTCTATATAAACTAATTAAATATTTTAATTGATTAGCCACTGGCTTTTAACTTATTTTAATATATTTTCATCTGAACATACAATTGAAAATAAATGTGAAGTGGCATTTGTGTTAGAAGGAAAGGACATTTAATCTTTTTGCCATACTAAATGGCAGAGTTCTAAACCAGCAACTCTAAGCAGTTTTGTAATTTGTATAAATAGCGGTTTAAACAGACTTTTTGTAGTTCTGTGAATTTTATTGTTTCTTTAAAAAAAACAACCAATAAAAACCTTCAACGGTAATTTATCTGCTATCTTTGGAAGGAAAAGCGACCCAGAAACTTCTTGGCAAACATTGGCTCCAGTTCCCATGAATTCTTGCAAGACCTGCTAGGTGAGATCTTCTGATTTTTGTTGTTGTTTTGAAAGGCTATCATTTCATGTCTCTCAGTTCTATGGGGTGTTGCAGGGAAAGCATTCCATGTGGGCATACATGACAATAAATGAAGCAATGCCAAAAAAAGGAAAATAAATTTTAAGTTTCTGTACTCTGGTTTGAAAAAGAAGGGATCTGAAATGTCCATGTGCTCCGCATAGTGGTGAACATCAATCATTCCACATTACTGAGTTTTTAGCTTGCTAGGACTGTACTAACACACCCACACTCCCACTATGCTGATGACTGGGGACTTAGGATGGAGCATAAGTATGTTCCTACTGGCCTCTGCCAATGGAGAGAAACATGCAATAACCTGTACATTGTTAGCAGAAAAGTTTCCTACAGAACCCAGGTTTCATGAAGTATCGCAATTGCACTGGTTCACACACAGGCAAACTACTGGTCACAATCCCCGAGCTTTAACTTAACTACGATATTTGACACTGGTGTTGTTCAGCAACACTCCACACATTCAAGTACAGTATTTTCAGGTATACACTGGCCTAACAACAAATCTAACAGCAGTGTGCCTCTATATGTGATCTACCAGAGTTTGAGTATTATTTAACACCATAACAAATTTTACCTGGCAAGTCTCTCTCTTCACAGGTCACAGGAATATTGGTGAACAAAGTAGGTTTGGTCAGCCTCATTACTGTGAATTTAGAAAGCAAATTCCACATTAATCACACACCTCATCACCAGGACTTCACTAGAAGCTCAACATATTTAACTTCAAAATAAGAACCATAAGACCTGTTTGGATATTACCTTGTCCCTGGAATTCTGCCCAAGTTTTATGTATTTTGTTTGTTTGTACTGAGCACAAGAAAAGGAGATGAAATTGGGCTTAATGTGAAAACAACTAGAAATGCAGGAAGTGTTCATTCACACTGATACTTGAGCAAAGACAAAAAGCATGCATATCCATTTTTTTAAAATCTCACCAATATTTTAAAAAATGTTTTATGATAATTACAAAAATCATTTTAACAAAACACAATACTCATAACCACCTTCATCCTTATCCAACCATGTTGAGAGTACCATTTGTAAGCAGTTGTTTTGGTCCAGTTGACTCCCCCTAAGGCAGACGGGGGGGGGCGGGCGTGTCCAGTCAACCAAAGCTTTCCCCATTCATTCAAATGTAGATATTAAGGCTGGACCGGGGCCTGCAAACTATCGATTGTAGACCCTCCAACTGTCCCTATTTTCCAGGGACAGTACTGGATTTACAGAAGCTGTCCCAATTTCTGATTTGATCCCAAAATGTCCTGCTTTTCCTTAGTATGTCCCAATTTTCATTATCCAACCCCTGAAGATAGCCCTCTACAGGGAAGCTTTTTAATGTTTAAAGTTTTATTATGTTTTTATATATGTTGGAAGCAGCCCACAGCTGCTGGGGCAACCCAGTCAGATGCTCAGGAAGAAGAAGAAGAAGAAGGAGGAGGAGGAGGAGGAGGAGGAGGAGGAGGAACAGGAACAGGACATTCCTATTTTCATTGGAGAAATGTTGGAGGGTATGTGATTGCAATAGAATTTGCTTACAAATGACCATGTTTAGATGGCATACATTTTCTAAGGGCTGCTAAGAACACAAAGAAGTCTTGCCTCTGTACAGAACATAATGGCCAATAGGACAACATTCTGCCTACTGCCGATGTGATTACAATCTATAGGAAGCAAAAATGTAGGCCAAACATACAAAAAGGGAAACAAATATATCAGCATGATGGACTTCATAAAATTAAAGTTTAGAAATTAATACTCCAACCCAGCAGCCTTTCTTTTTATTGTTCATTAATTTTAGACAAATCATTCCAAACAAATGTGGAAGGTCATTTCATTCATTGCATCAGGCTTACAAGGAGCATTCATTTTACAAGGGACATCTTCTTAAGTATTCACAGACTTTTTGAGAACTTAAAACAAAGCATAATCCAGTCTTGTAGAGATCAGTTTGCTTGAGATGTCCTGCTTTTTCCTCTAATTTTCTATGACTCCATACGCTAATCAAAGTGTACACATATAGAGAACATGACTTACTATAGAGTTATTTTTACGTGAGCAAAGAAATCTACAAGGAGGGCTTCTAATTTAAATAAAATGAAAAATGCCCAGGATAAGCTAATTACTCCCCTACTGCCCCCCCCCCGCACTACCACAGATTTTTTTCAAAAACATTGTAAGGCAACAAAGTGTATTTAAAATATAACATTTCACAGAAAGTAGCAATGCCTTGTTATAAAGCTACAGACTATGTATGATTCCATATTTGTGAACAAACAAATTTATTTTCCCCAAAAGGTTTAATTTTTCTCTAAGCTTGTTGGCAACATATTCACAGTACAGTATGTCACAGAAAACTGAAATCTGCCCTTCACATCTCTGGATCGTAGCATTACATGATGGCAGTTCATTGTGTTTGATCATCTTATTGAGCTCTACCCAAATGTCCTCCAACGTTTGAATACCAAAAGTAGATGGTTCAATTATCCACTGGGCTCTATAGAATGCATGGAGCTTTAATTTGTCTAAAGTGCTCTGCAGTTCTCTAGATAAAGGAAGAATCTTGTCTTTGAGCTTAGAGTTGGGAAGAGACACACTCCAAGACCTTCTCAGCTTCTGCTTGCTGCTTGCTGTTTGCTTTTCCAAATTGCTAAAATTGTTTCTTTCATGCTCAGCTTGCAAACACTTCCCAGCTTTTACATCAGGATGGAATTCCTTAAGCCCTGCAGTACAGTCATAAGATGGGGAGCAGCAAGCAGTTTCTATGGCTGCAATATGTTGTTTTATTTGCTCTACTTCTTCACCAGAAATAACTGGAGCGATTCTTTTAGGTTTGAGGGGAAGTTGGCGCAAGTCATTTGGAAACCAGGGTATGAAACTTGGGAGCTTCCTAACAGGAAATTCTTTCAGTGCCTCTTCCGTGATTCTTTGCAATGCTGCAGGGTCCCTTTGCCATGCTCGATAGTGCAGAATCACCTCCATGCTTGTACAACAGGAATCCACATGTTCTTATTTTAAATGTTTCTTGGACAGCAGCTTCATCACTAATGATATAATCACTTAAAAGAATCTTTTCATGCCATGTGCTGTGCAGTTCAGAAGAAAACAGGACCTAGAGCAGAAGTATTGCAAGTAATAAGACACGCTAGCAGTTTTCCCACTAAAATTCACCATCATGTTGACGCAGTTATCGCTAGAAAAGGCTGTAGCAAGTGTAATGGGCTGCAAACGTATGCAGTTGGAAAACCAAACCACAACAGCACCCCCTCAGACTTATAGTTTTTTTGTTTCTGTCAGACATCTGGGTTTGCTAATTCAAACCAGAATGCTATATAAGTTTCTCCAATACAGAAATTAATCAAGTGAGATGGCCCTACTGTAAGGGAGCTATGATACAGCACCAAATTTCTGAACTTCTGTGAGTGCCAAACATGTTGCCTTAAACATATATCTCGGCATTGCATAACTGTTTCCTTCCAACTCTAAAGCGGCTTCCCAATTGTGGAATGCCCTCCCCTCACGGACTCAGCTGATGCCAAGGCTGATCGGTTTTATGCAGCGTGTAGACATCCCTATCTGAGCAAGCATTTTGCTGGACTGGATAGGTTTTCTCATCCTCATGGTGTTGTGATATAAATCAGATTTATTGTTGTACTGGTTTGCTTTTTCAGATTGTTTATTTTTATTGCTAAACTAATAAATAGCAGTCACAGAAGGGGGAGAATCAGGAACAGGGGCTGCAGTGCGTGGGGGGGTTAACCCTTTTACTTCCACACTGTGGCCCTGATGACAATTTCTTCACATACTGTTTGTCACAGGCAGGAAGCTTTCATGCAGTAGTAGTAGCTGTTGCTTATGACTCCTAAGAAGAAGGAAGGATAGCAGAGTTGGAATGTTACTATAGTAGGATAATAATTGAAAAAAGAGGGAGAGAAGCTGGGAGGACTGAAATTATTCATGTTCACGGTAACGTCAGAAGTGTATGCATGCACATGGGGTCACAATTTTAGACTGGATAGTGTTCCAAGTACCGTCTATGCTATTTGTGTTGTCACAGAGGAAAGTTCTCTCAGCCTTAGAAGCAGGAAGGATACTCCAGTGACAACCATTCTTCCACAAATCTACATCTTTGGGTCCTTACTTTGAAGGTCCCCCTTTTTTCTTGCATGCTCTGCAATTCTTTAGAGCATTTACCCCACAATGTATATGTACTTTCTCTATTTAGTGTTCCTTGCTGGCAACTACAGAAATATATATTGCCATGAAATGTCTTTAAAGCATTTCTGCCTACAGAAGTGTATTGGGATTGTGCTTTGTAATGTTCATACACTCCACTTCGCCATAAGGAAATTATTTAAAAAGAGTTGCCTTTTTCAACAACTCATTATTTGTAAGAACTTGAGGGGATACTGGGACAGGAGATAGGAAGGGTTCTAATTTCAACAACTGCTTAGGTACTGGTCCCAATCAGTGCACTCTCCACACATCCTTCACAGCTTTTATGGTACTCTTAGTGGCCATTTTTTCTCAGGAGAATGTTTCCATGTGGTAAACTCACACAACTGAGACTTCAAGGAAGCAGGTGAGAACTTGTTCTTCCATCTGAGGTTGCAGAAATGGGTTTGGTTTTTTCCTAAATACCGTAGCTTGTGTTGTGTTACAAAGAAAGGATATATATTGGAAGGATTAAGGGACTTCCTCTTTAGCAGCTGATTATATCTAAGGCTTGACAGATTTTTTTGATTTTTTTTAGTTCAAGGAAATGTTCCATTTTGTGGGAGCTGACGAGAAGATAACAGGCACCCCCTTTTTCAAAGCTCACTCCCGGAGCAGCTGTATAATATTGCAGCCCCGCTTGCTTTAGAAATGTTTACACACCACCCCTCTCTGAAAGCTTGTTCTGCACCAACATTGTCCCTCTTGATTCATAGCTGGGCAAGCGCAAGGAAGGCCTACCAACTGAAGATTTCGCAATGGATTTTGAGATGCACTTCTTGCTTATACAAAACTGCACAAAAAACAACACCCTACACCATTTCCTAGGGAAGCGACGATGTCCTTCTCTTTCAAAAGAAATCTGAAAACGTTGGGAGATTCCCCCTCCTGAGTGCACACTCCGGCTTGAACCAATGAGGCTGGATCTAGGATCACTTTCAGAGCTCTTTATTCAACAACGCCCTGGCAGGTGGAATAAGGAACCGACCTTTTGAAAAGGATACCCCACTTCTCCTGCAAATTAGCTTTGGGCCACCAACCTGCCGATCCCTCTCAGGTTTAATTGCCTCAGACCCACCCGCCTTGGTCTCCTAAAAACAGCGGCCAAGGGAGCCGCCGCAGAAAGGAAGCGGGGCTGGATTCTCTCCTCCTCGTCCCTTGCAGGATTTGCTTTTCAGCTGCTAAGCCCCAGGCCAAATCCGAAGGAGCGGAGGAAGCGAGAGCGAGTACCTTTCAGGGCCAAGAGATGCTCCTGCTTGGGCTGGGTAACATCCATCGCCGCAGCCGCTCCCGGGCCTCTTCCTCCTTTACGGAATCAGCCGAGGCCAAACTTCCTCCGGCCGCGAACAAGAGGTTCTCTCCCCGGCTTTGGCCCGCTTCCTTCTCCCAGCTGTGCTCCTCGCAATGCAAGTCGCCTCCGCAATCGAGCCAGAAACTACAATCCCCAGCGTGCTCTTTGGATCGTCCGTATCGCCATAGGCGCCTCTGCTTGCTTTTATTTCCTGCACCGTGGAAAAGGCGAGCTGTCAAAGTGATGCATGATGGGAGCTGTAGTTTTTTTTTTAACGTCCCTCGGCGCCGCTATCATGGCGGCCAATGGCATAGTGGGAAACGGGGAGTGACAAGAAACGGACATGCGCAGTGCTTAGAAACCACAGACCGGGTTAAGATACGGGGAAAGCGACCTTGTTGTGTGTGTTTTGACGTTTGTCTCCTTTACCTACGGCTCTCTTTGGTGACGTAGGCGCGTAACCCCGCCCCGTCTCCAGGGGGACACTCCGCTGTGGGAGCGGCGAAGGGAGCTTCTTCTTGGTCGTTCTCCTTCCTTCTCCAAGATGGCCGCGCTAGGTGTAAACAAGGTCGGGGCTAGTGCGGGGCTGGATGCCGGGAGCAGGCAGAGCCGGAGTCCGGCCGGGCCTGTGGTGAAGGTGAGCAGAGGGAGGCCGGGGGGGGGGGGGCTTCCAAGCCGCCTTGGCGGAGCCCCCTCGCCGTTCGCTGTCTTGGGTGGGGGGCGGGAGGAAAGAGAGGCGGAGCCCCCGCCCCCTTTGGGCTCCCGGTTGTAGCGCCTTCATCTCCTGCAAGAGCCTTCACGTTTTGCGGGTCGGTTCTCTCCGGTTGTGCCCGAGTTGGGCAACCCTCGTGTGTATTGCTCGTGTGTATTGCTCCCCCTTCACATTACACACACACACATATATATATATCTACACACATATATATACATATATGTATATATATATATACACACACAGTTATATATATATATATATATATATATACACATGCACACAGAGAGAGATACACACACACACGCACACATATATATATAAATATATACACACACACACACATATACACAAACACCCACCCACCCACACACATATAAATACACACACAGACACACCTGTATGCTACGTTGTATGTTCTGTACTGTTTAAAGCAAGGGAGTGTCCAGAGCGATTTACCATGCATTGACAAATGAGGAGGTGGGACAAGGTAGGGGGAATCTCACATGTAGGGTTCCAGCTTTTTTCTCCGGCAGGTTCCCAGCTTTTTGCATCTGTGCAGTAGGCGGTAAATAAGCAAGTGGAACATCTCGGGACATGAAGATGCAGCGATGGCAAAGAAACAGAAAATGTAGGGTTGTGTGCAGCTAAGTGCTGCTCACAATAGACCCATCTAAATTAATGGACATTACTAACTTTGATTTCCATGGGTCTGCTTTGAGTAGTTCTGCCTGTCATAGAGTTGTTGAAGGTATAAGGAAATGTTCCATTATAGATGGCAAGAATATAGAGGGGCAGAACAGATGAAGAGGCGAAATTGGTACACTGGGATTCCCATGCATTTGGGAACTGTGCAAACATTTGTTACAGAACGGGAAACATATTAAGTATCGTAAACAATATGGACGTTGTATCTTGATAGCCTTCTGTCTCATTTTGAAAATATTGCAGGAGGTTGAACTAGCTGGTCCTCATGGTCCCTTCCAACTCTACAGTCCTATGATTCTATAATTCTTTGATGCAAAAATGCATTATGTTCGTTCCACAAGAGTTTCTAGTGACCTTGGGTGGGTTATGATCATGAACATGAGATCCAGTTGGTGGCTATACTTCATTTGGATGTTCTGCCATACAGAAAAATGTGCATAATGCAGATAGAATTTTACCAGTTATCTTGAGCAATAGATACTTAATAATCCTGGTCCCTAAGGGTCAGCCTGACAGCTGAGTTCACAAAAGTTACAAACCCACACAAATGGGTTGTATTCCAGCTTGCCCACATATTATCTATGTTAGTTACAGTGGTGGGTTTGTATTTGCTATTTTAATACAGGTATTTTAAATTATGAATTGTTATATTATTGATATATACTTGTTTAATTTGTAATTTTTGCATACTGTCTTATTAAAAGTTACTTTTTAAAAATTGGGATATAAATTTATTAAATAAATAAATAAATTGGAATTTTTGCTGTTGTGGAATAAAAAATGTGATTTCTTATAAAGACTTTCATAGGAAAATAGTTGTAACTTTCTTTGAAGTGCTATCTTAAGTTCAGTTACTTGAAAAGTTCTCCCTCCTGTGTAGAAGTACAACTATACTACCGAGACTAAGGCTGCAGTCCTATACCTATACCCCTTACCTAGAAGTAAGCCCCAATTCACTCAGTAGGACAGATGTGTGTAGTAAGGTCTAGGAAATACAACATACCAACCACTAAGGAAGTGCTTTGGGTCATGGACTACAGTTTTTAGGATCCACTAATTATCTGGTAGTTCTTAGTATATAGAGCTAATCTGAAACTTATTCATAATGAGGTCTGACCTGAGAGACTGATGCGGCTGTCCTCATCCCCATCCATAGTGGCATCTGTTGGCTGCATCCAAATATACATAGTTAACCACTTAGGAACATAAGAAGCTGGCTTATACAGAGTCAGAATATTGGTCTAAGTAAGCACTGTTGATGCTGACAGGCAGCGCCAGGACTTCCGGCACGAGTCCCAGGCCTACCTGGAGATACAAGGGATTGAACCTGGGGCCTTTTTTGCTTGCTCTTTACTACTAACTTTTAGCTCTTCCCTAGTGCTTAAAAACTGAACGTATTCCCTTGTAAATTATAGGTTCTGGAATGTGGAGTCTGTGAAGATGTATTTTCACTGCAAGGAGACAAAGTTCCCAGACTGCTTTTGTGTGGTCATACAGTCTGTCATGACTGTCTCACTCGACTTCCTCTCCATGGCAGAGCAGTCCGGTGTCCTTTTGATCGGCAGGTTACTGAATTAGGTAAGCTGCTTAGAAATTGTTGAATTAAGAACATAAGAAAAGCCCTGCTGAGAAGACTAATGACCTGTGTAGGTCCACCATCCTGTTCTCAAACTGACTAACCAGATGCCTATGGGAGGCCCATAAGGAGGACACCAGTGCAGCAGCACTCTCCCCGCTAGTATTAATACACTACCTCTGACGCTGGAGATAGCAGTCATTTTATATAGGTTCACCAAATGGGCAGGTACAACAGACACAGCTTGAATATACTGAGGCAAACCACCACTTAAAAAACAAAACACTGACATTGGTTCCAAGGCAGTTCAGAGGTTTGACTTGTGCCCTTCAAAAGTTGCAGTGATGTGATGTGATGTGATGAAAAGAGCAATGTGCACTATGAAAACGTATGGAAGATTTAATGTTTTAGGGGAAGGATTGTTGGAAAAATGCTCTTGGGGAGACGGTGACACCCCCCCCCCCCAGAACCTCTGAGCATCTCCCGGTAGGCACGTCTCTGGAATGGCATGTCCCTTCATCTCCAGAGTGCCTTTCTGT